ATGTAGCTATCGCTAATCTTAGTAATCTAGTATATCTGTTCCTAATTATCTGACCTTGGTCCTTGGGAAAAAGTATACACCCTTGATTATATTTTATATCACGTAGCTTAGTGCGATGTTTCGTTCAATGACGTAACCGACATCAAACCAGAAGTGAGAGGACGTCGTCGTAAATGTACACGTCATCAAGTAATTGTTGAGTGGGTGTTGCGAACGCCGAAGACGTGAGCCTGGTAGGGGCACTGGAAATGCAATCAAATTCGCTATAGCTGAATAAACTATTTTGAGCATCTCTCGAAAGTGGTCCTAAGGGAGAGCAAAAACCACGATTTGCAATATCCTTGGAGATGTTAATATCCTTGGAGGGGAGCATATATATAATGATCATGCTTACTGGCAAGAGCATCTGATTTCAATCGTTTCTTATATATACCATGCAATCTTTTGAAACACCTGATCATGCAACAATGTTGTATTAAAGAATTTTGAAATACTTTGCTGTTTTCGGAATGCATGTGTATTTTGTACGAAACCGGCGGACAAATTCGCGTGCAGCTAAGTATACAAATTCCCATGTGAACAAATCGAAACCGGAGAAACATAACGGTCCATCACGTTTATCCTTGTAGATCAGAAGCTCTATAACGAGCTCAATCAAATCAACTGTATTTTGCCTGGGTACCAATACACTACACATGCAGTACTTCATCCGATAAACCACAAGTGGTACTCGGCGGAAATGAAACAATTATATTGATCTTCATGATAACGTGGAATTCCAGTTATTTTTATTTTAGAAATGATTAATAAATGCTAGTTAAAAAACGTGCAGGAGTGCTTTATTTTATATAAAATGGGAGTGCATGCGCAGCACGAGCAATTTAGATATGATAAAACACGACTACAAGTGTTTTGAATAGCTTCAAACACGACAACAATAGATGCCGTCTCATCTTTGGTCCCTCGCATGCATGGGTAGTGTAGTTTTTTTTTATAAACATCTCGTTCGCACCTCCACCATTTGGGATGAATTTTCAATTTAAGCTAACATTATTAATAATATAACAATATTATAAGCTTATGAATAATTAATGAGTGTTTGAAGATTAGATAAGACATGTTATTCGGTTTTTGTCTTATACTTCAATAATTCCTGCCAGGGACCTGTACAGTAGTTGCATTTGTCGCAGCTGGCATGGTTCCTGGTTAGGTCTCATAAATCATAAATTTCCATTGGATAATTTGCATCAACATGGACCAACGACAGGCTACGGTTTCCTAGCTCCTGCACGTACTTTCATAATAAAACCACTTAGTTAAGTGTTTTGTTTTTAATTTTCTTTGTTTAGAAAAAGGGCAGCAATTAAAATTTCAATTCCTACAGACAGAATGTCTGTATTCCCCACAACCTTGCAACAATAGTTATATACTAGTTAATTAAGCTGGGCCGAATCATGCGAGTCGCACAGGAATATAGTGATACTTGTTTTTTTTAATTTTTTTCGCCCACGTCAGTTAATATACTATTTACATGAAAATAACAAAATATAGAAATTTTCGGCTAGGAGTCTATAAAAAGCTTTAACAGGCTTTCTGATTTAGACTAGTTTCCAGTATAATCATGTATTAATATTGTATAGTGTCATCGTTCGAGTTAAGATGAACTATTTTTACAGTTTAAATGAGTTTATAATATATAATGGTAAAGTGAGTAGAACGACATATATGTATTTACATTTAAGAGAAGTTAGACTGCATGGTGTACATAATACAAAACATTGAGTTAGTTATAGAGCAAGTATATATTTTTGAAAGTGAGTGCTTGACGTAGTTAGTCCTTTGACGAGGCTTGTGAAATTTAGATGAATTTTACATTGAAGAAATTTACATTGAAGATAACATTTTAACATTATTTTAAGTTCCTGTCCAATTAAAATTCTTTCACATCAGCAAATGCAAATGCTTCGCACGATTCCTGAGGTCAGTTGTACAGTATAAAACTCTTAATCACTTTTTAATCACTATTTTGTAGTTAAATAGTGATTAGCTCTCAAATAGGCGCTTGTTATTGGATGACGTATCCACTAACTGTACAACTTTAATCACTTTTTTGTACAACTGACCCCAGGATAAAAATCAGTTAAATGCTTCTCAACGAAAATCTGCCCCTGTGTCTCTGACCGATAGACCTTTCGCTTTTCACGACCGTTTCGGGAACGATATAAAGATGCATCAAATGTTTCTCCATTAAATTAATCTGATCCTTATTGAGCACAAAGATACTCTTTGTCAATTGTTACATCCAACTGTGTTGCGAAACAACTGGGTGTATAAGCAAGGTCAAAATAATATCTTCCTATACAGATGACATGTCTTTAAGTACTATATTTAAAGCACGCGTAGGAGTGTTTTATCACATATAAAACACGACGCGTAGCGGAGTGTTTTATATGTGATGAAACACGACTACAAGTGCTTTAAATGGTTTCAAAAACGACTCATCTTATACGAGTTCATTGGCGAAGTAATTTTTAAAATAAAGTTTGTCTAAACCGAGAAAATCAAAGCTAAAGTTTATGTAAATTAACATGATTTTTTATCACATATAAAACCACGACACGCTTATGATTTTTCTTTGTGTTTTCCTCCTGAATTGTTAATGAGTTTTTGAATTTATGTTAAATTTCAAATAACATGTTTTAAATTTAATTTTATGTTCATTGATCCAAAGGTTTTCTTTATATATATATATATATATATATATATATATATATATATATATATATATATATATATATATATATATATATATATATATATATATATATATATATATATATTATATATATATATATATATATATATATATATATATATATATATATATATATATATATATATATATATATATATATATATATATTTATATATATATATATATATGACGAGGCGTAGAACGCCGAAACGTGCATGTCTGCAGATTCTACTATTATCGCTGCTTCACTTCGGTGTTGTTGAGCACTCTGCGGAGATGTTAGTGGGTGCATGTCTATTAGCGATAACTCAAGCTCACTTTACTTTTGGCCCCATTACACTTTGCACATGTCTGGAACCCAATTTTATAAATCAGTTATAATGTGATGTACCTGTTGTAGCTATCGCTAATCTTAGTAATCTAGTGTAGTTCCTAGTTATCTGACCTTGGTCCTTGGGAAAAAGTACCAGGTGATCTCATGTTCGTATTTTAGCCAATCAGCGCTCAGAATGGGTTGTCCGAATAGAAATCCATTTTGATGTATTCAGTCAATTATATCTTTCGTTATTCTTTATAAAACTAGTTGAAATTTTGTAATTATGTTTGGTTATGAGAACTATAGCTCTGACAAAAATATGGAATCGAAATAAAGTATATCACAGGAGATATTCAATTGTTTTAATCACAAAATGGATTTCTATTTGACAACTAGTGCCAGTACTTTTCCGCGTATCAAGATCATCTGGATACACCCTCGATTATATTTTATATCACGTAGCTTAGTGCGATGTTTCGTTCAATGACGTAACAGACAGCAAACCAGAAGTGAGAGGACGTCGTCGTAAATACACGTCATCAAGTAATTGTTGAGTGGGTGCTGCGAACGCCGAAGACGTGAGCCTGCTAGGTGCACCGGAAATGCAATCAAATTTGCTATAGCTGAATAAACTATTTTGAGCATCTCTCGAAAGTGGTTCTAAGGGAGAGCAAAAACCACGATTTGCAAGAAACAGACGAATTTTGCAAGAAACGGCACAAGATCTCCCAGGCGCTCCTCAGTTTTCGCTGCCTCGAGCCCATAAACCCCTGCGCTTGTGCGTCGCGATGCACTACTTCATGTAAACCTTTCATATAGTTTACTCGCATGAAAATTTTTTATTAGCGGCTGTGGACGAGGCAGGTATACCAGTAGCTTAGATAATTAATCTAATAAGATTAGATGAATAGATAAAATTGTTAAATACGCAGATTATTTATATTTGGAATGAACAGTATATGATTAAAACTAACTGCACTGTACAAGGTTTGCGGCACTAATTTGAGTTTATTTATGAAGTATTGTCCTTATTGTCTGTTTATCATTCGGCTTAAGCTAATCATTCACATAATTATTAAGTTACACTAATTAAGTTACATCGTGCCCTGCTTTAATTATTATTATACTCTGGCTGTCTTTTACTCGTCAAGGAGAGAGTGCTGGTGCGCATTGGGAATGGATTAACCCATTTCCCATAATGCACACAAGTTTGTTATCCTACTCTGTCTAATCATGCATACTAACACCTCAGAGGCACATGTAGACATGGGAATTAGCCCTTCACTCCTTCATTTCAGTTGCAACTTAAAACAGTGTTTTGACATACGGGGGTGAGTTGTGAGTGTGGGAAGTTTTAAAATTTATGCAAAAGCATTTCCCAACTATAACCATATAGTGCATTTGTGCAAAATCTAATCAAGGTGTCAATATCCTTGGAGGGGAGCATATATATAACGATCATACTTACTGGCAAGAGCATCTGATTTCAATCATTTCTTATATATACTGGCAATCTTTTGAAACACCTGACCATGCAACAGTATTGTATTAAAGAATGTTGAAATATTTTGCTGTTTTCGGAATGTATGTGTATTGTACGAAACCGGCGGACGAATTCGAGTGCAGCTAAGTGTACAAATTCCCATGTGAATCAGAAGCTCTAACAAGCTCTAACAAGCTCAATCAGAAGCTCTAACAAGCTCAATCAAATCAACTGTATTTTGCGTGGGTACGAATACACTGCACAGTACTTCATCCGATAAACCACAAGTGGTACTCAGCGGAAATGAAACAATTATATTGATCTTTGAGTGTATGGGCAGGCTTGAAAAATATGGCCAACTGAGCTACGCGGTCAGGTCGGTTCGAGTCTGCGATATTTCGGAACTTTGAATTCCGTTCCGAAATATCACATGCTCGAACCGACCTGACCGCGTAGCTCAGTTGGCAGAGCATTGGGCTAGTATTCCAAAGGTCGTAGGTTCGAGTCCCACCGTGGCCAGGCATATTTTTCAAGCCTGTTCGGTGTGGATACACACTCAGAGTAACATCACACAAGCATCTTATTCACCTGGGTACATTACACCAACACAGCTATATTGATCTTCATGATACTAATTAGGATGGACTTCAGAATACTAATTAGGATGGACTTTTATATAACTGAATACTAATGAAGATGAGTTTTATCAGATATTAAGCCTCTCCACGTGGCATGTTATGGTTGACATGATTCGCTAATATTACAAGCTTATGAATTATTAATGAGTGTTCGAAGATTAGATAAGACATGTTATTCGTTTTTTTGTCTTATACTTCAATAAATATCTGATTGGACTTAGACTCATTGACTCAAAATGAATTGCTGCTAGGGACCTGTAGTTGCATGTATTTGTCGCAGCTGGCATGGTTCCTGGTTAGGTCTAATAAATCATAAATTTCCACTCGATAATTTCCATCAACATCGACCAACGACAAGCTAAGGTTTCCTAGCTTCTGCATGCATGTACTTTCATAATAAAACCTACCTCCTCCGCAGGCCATACAGTCTGTAATGAGTATGCCCGTTCACAGGTTTGAATTTGAAATTTGAGACGAAGACTTGCGTAGCTGTAAGGCCTGCTGAATAACATGTCGATTACTTGGTTTTTGGTGTCGATTACTCGGTTGGGTCAAATTTCTTCAAAAATATGGAACATCGTCTGCCAATCTTTAGCAATCCCGTTTTGCGAGTATTTTCTAAATACATCTTGGCAGTTATGGCTGATAAAAGCGACGAGGAGAATTCAAATAATGGAGTGTTCTACAAGCACAAGCGACAGTGATAATAGACATTGAGAATCTGTCATTTGGCCAAATGGGATGTTTTGACTATATACACACGCTTTTAAATAGTTACACTGTATAAAAGACAAATATAAATGGAATAAATTTCGTGGATAAACGGCCGCATGCCTGCCATACGACGTGTTACATAAAAGCGCTGCGTGTTTGTAATATGCAAATTATAAGCTGATATTTATCTGCTTCTCTTTGTAATTAATCATTGTATATGCTTGTTTGTTCAGTGTTCCCTGTTTTTATTTCTTCAGTGTTCCCTGTACGAAAAGCGGTCTATATCAGAAGTAGTTTATAAAGACTTTAATAATAATATTGTACCGCTGGCCTTTCGGTTCGTTTCGCACCAATTTTATTTTTTTGAAAGGCCTGCGGAGGAGGTAGTAATAAAACCACTTAGTTAAGTGTTTTGTTTTTAATTTTCTTTGTTTAGAAAAAGGGCAGCAATTAAAATTTCAATTCCTACAGACAGAATGTCTGTACTAGTTATTAATCCGGGCCGAATCAGGCGAGTCGCACAGGAATATACAATGATACATTTTGTTGGTTTTTTTAAAAAAATTTTCGCCCATGTCAATTAATACTATTTTCATGAAAATAACAAAATTTAGAAATTTTGGGCTAGGAGTCTATAGAAACCTTTAACAGGCTTTTTTATTTAGACCGCTAGTTTACAGTATAATTAGGCTATCTATTAATATATATATGGTGTCCTCGTTCGCATAATATATAAAATGTTAAGATGAACTATTTTTACAGTTTAAATGAGTTTATATGGCAAAATGAGTAAAAATATAGAGCGTCATATATATATTTACATTAAGAGAAGTTATGGCTGGTGTATATAATACAAAACATTGAGTTAGTTATATATAGGAAGTATATTTTTGATTTTTTCTTAAAAATACCATGCGCTGATATTGTCGTTAAACTATACTGTCAAGCTTATTCCAGACGTTTACTCCTTTTACTGAAAGTGAGTGCTTGACGCAGTTAGTCCTTTGATGAGGCTTGTGAAATTTAGATGAATTTTACATTGAAGAAATTTACATTGAAGGTAACATTTTAACATTATTTTAAGTTCCTGTCCAAGTAAAATTCTTTCACATCCGCCAATTCAAATGCTTCCCACGATTCCGGGGCCAGTTGTATAAAACTTAATCATTATTTTGTAGTTAAATAGTGATTAACTCTCAAATACGCGCGTCTTATTGGATGACGTATCCACTAACCGTATATATAGTTAACTTTAATCACTTTTTTTACAACCGGCCCCAAGATAAAAATCACTTTAAATGCTTAATTCTCAACGAAAATCTGCCCCTGTGTCTCTGACCGATAGACCTTTCGTTTTTCACGACCGTTTCGGGAACGATATAAAGATGCAAAAAATGTTTCTCCATTAAATTAATCTGATCCTTATATATTGAGCACAAAGATCCTCTTTGTCAATTGTTACATCCAACTGTGTTGCGAAACAACTGGGTGTATAAGCAAGGTCAAAATATTAATATCTTCCTATACAGATGACATGTCTTTAATTTAAGTTAAAGTTTAATTTAAAATAACATGTTTTAAATTTAATTTTATGTTCATTGATGCAAAGATTTTCTTTCTATATTATGACGTGGCGTAGAACGCCGAAACGTGCATGTCTGCAGATTGTACTATTATCGCTGCTTCACTTCGTTGTTGTTGAGCACTCTGCGGAGTTGTTAATGGATGCGTGTCTATTACATATGGTCTATTAGCGACTCAAGCTCACTTTTGAACCCATTACACTTTGCGCATGTCTGGATCCCAATTTTATAAATCAGTTATATGATGTAGCTATCGCTAATCTTAGTAATCTAGTATATCAGTTCCTAATTATCTGACCTTGGTCCTTGGAAAAAAGTATACACCCTCGATTATATTTTATATCACGTGGCTTAGTGCGATGTTTCGTTCAATGACGTAACCGACAGCAAACCTTAAGTGAAAGGACGTTGCCGTAAATGTACACGTCATCAAGTAATTGTTGAGTGGGTGCTGCGAACGCCGAGGACGTAAGCCTGCTAGGGGCACCGGAAAATATGCAATCAAATTCGCTATAGCTGACTATAAACTATTTTGAGCATCTCTCGAAAGTGGTCCTAAGGGAGAGCAAAAACCACGATTTGCAAGAACGGCACAAGATCTCCCAGGCGCTCCTCAGTTTTCGCTGCCTCATGGCCATAAACCCCTGCGCTTGTTCGTCGCGATGCACTACTTCATGTAAACGTTTCATATAGTGACTCGCATGAAATTTTTTTATTAGCGCCTGTGAACGAGGCAGATATACGAGTAGCTTAGATAATCAATCTTATAAGATTAGATGAGTAGATAAGATTTTTAAATACCTAGTCCTAGATTATTTATATTTGGAATGAACAGTTTAACGGGTGTCCCCAAAAAACGTGCGCTGTTTGATTTCATGTAAGGTAAAAACTATAAAACCTATTGCACTCAAATAAATTTTAGTGTATCCAGGAAAAGCTAACTTAGATTTTGATATACAGCCCTAAAAATACCATTTAATATTACGCGAGATAAAAATGTTTGAATTTGGCGCACGCTTTAAAAATGAGAAAAAAATCGAGAAATATGGCTGATCAAATTTTATATGAAAAAATCGCCATTTTCCACAAATATTAACAATTTAAATTTTAGCATTTCAACTGAACTTTAATTTCGGGTAATGTACTAGTATAAGTTAGCCTTTCGACAAGTGAGTTTCGTGTTTCTTGGGAAACGAAATAAATATGAAACATTTAAAATCGTTCGAAAGCATATTTGACGTCCTTATAGGGAGTTCGTATTATAAAGTTGGTTTTCGTTCGCCTTTCGAATATGCCTCGATTAACAAAAGATCAAAGAGTTTGGGTTTTATGGTTTCCCGCGTGCAAGACATTGTATACGTGAAAAAGGACATACTTTCTAGACAAATGAATAAATTGTTTATCCAACAATTATGTTTTTCATTCGTTATTTTGACAACAATATATCAATCTGTCTAATCATACTAACACCACAGAGACACAGACATGGGAATTGGCCCTTCACTCCATGCACCTCTGGATTTCAGTTGCAACTTAAAACAGTGTTTTGACACATGGGGGTGAGTTGTGAGTGTGCGAAATTTTAAATTTATACAAAAGCATCTCCCAACTATAACAATGCATATAGTGCATTTGTGCAAATCTAATCAAGTTGTCAATATCCTTGGAGGGGAGCATATATATATATATATATATATATATATATATATATATATATATATATATATATATATATATATATATATATATATATATAATGATCATGCTTACTGGCAACAGCATCTGATTTCAATCATTTCTTATATATACCAATCTTTTGAAACACCTGACCATGCAACAATATTGTACCGGGTGGCCCAAAAAAAGTACTCCTGTTTGATTCGTAATAACATCTAAACAAGTATAGCTTTTAAAGAGAAATAACTTGCATCAAATAGAGGAAGGACTAACTTAGACTTTGATATATTACAGTTGTATTTCACTTAAAAATTCACGGAGATATTAATCTTTAAATTCGGGAGGATATTTCTTGATGTGTCTGAAATATGCAAAAATCGGCGTATCAAATATTAATCAAGATTTGCCCGACTGAAACATGCACTATTACCAGTAAATAAATGACACTTGACAAATTGTTTATTATGAAACAAAGTATTATTATATTTACAAAATACAAGCAAGATTCATTCGTCCGAAATTCGCGTGTGTTCCTAGCACGAATACGTTTCCTTATTTCATGAGACCACTGCATGCGAATATTTCATGAGACCACTGCATCGCGAAGGATCGTCATTGTATCGTTCGTAGTTCTGAATTAGGGCATGCTGTCACAACGGAATTGTGAAGCTCTTCTAACTTCTGCAACGTTCTGAAATCTTGTTAAGAACACCCAAACTCTTTTGCCGTTTCCTAATCTTGGCAAGTTCATGGAGTAAACTGAGAATTATATGAAACACAATCAAACCATACAACTCCATAAGACATAACAATTAAGCAACTCCCCAGAGACATGCAACATTTTTGGAACAAAACGTAACAAAATAGTAGCGTTGATACGGTGATGTGTATTTGCAAAAAGCAATATTATTTCCTTCAATAAAGAATATTCATCCTGCTCTAACCGAGAAATAATCTACTCAGTCTGTTTGAACCCATTAAAAACATAAAAAAATTAGGTTATTTAAGAATACGAAAAATTTAAGCGCCTGCCTTCCATGGTCAGTCTTTCATGTACATTTAAGTTTGCAAAGACCTAATATTAAATACTTGCATAATTTCGAACGTTCATATTTCAGGAAACAATGAGCTAAGACTTACATGTAAGATGTCTAAATCTACGCCATATCCCTTACAAACCTTAACGATAATTCGCTGAAATACAAGTTAGCCTAATATGTCATTAAGCAAACAAACGCTGGAGTTAATATTTGATATGCCGATTTTCGCTAATTTTAGACACATTCCAAAATATGCTCCGCATTTTTAACATTAATATCTCCGTGAATTTTTAAGTTAAATACAACTGTAATATATCAAAATCTAAGTTAGTCCTTCCTCTATTTAATGCAAGTTATTTCTCTTTAAAAACTTTACTTGTTTAGAAGTTATTACGAATCAAACAGGAGTACTTTTTTTTGGGCCACCCAGTAGATAAATTAATAATAGAAGGAAAGAAATACCGGTCACGTGATCGTTCGATGTTTACCATGAGTAGCTTATCCACTCGGAAATATCCGATGCAGTTCAGAAATGTATCTCAATTCTCAAAGCTATTTTTGATTTTATAAAGCAATTTCTGATGATTTACATTTTTAAAAACTTAATATTGAAACTATAGTCTATACCGGCGCCAACAAACTCTATTTTAAAAATCTAAATGCAAATTCTAGCATCTCACGAGTGCCGAACTGCATCCGACTGGATAGGCTAGTCTTGGTAGACATTTCGCGAAAATTGCGAAGAAAGCCTGCTGTTAAAAATCATTCAGGGAAAGGTTTATCTGTGTTATTTCTTTACTAGATATCTTTGTTCGTCTAAGAGAATGCTAAAACGTTGTACCTAATCAAATTATGTCGAAACGGTTAAATTAGAAGCATTTTAGAAAATCATGTGACCAGTGTTTCAATCCTTCCTTTTTATTACTTTATCTATTATTAATTATGCTATGACCTCATACGCGCCCGCATTACTTAGCTGCTGAGGATTCTGTAGTACTTCATATTGATCATTTATTTGCTCTAACGTAAAGTCCGTTCTGCGCATACGTTCTGCGCAGGGCTACATTCCAATGGTCGGGATCCGACCATTGGAATGTTATTAATATTTCGCACCTTCCGAACTTTATTGAATTGAATATCTAGTCTGTATTAATTTACAAGCATAGCGAACCAGAAGAGTGCTAAAAATTCAGTATAATATATATCTAATCATATTTTACAACTGTAGCACTGAGTTCAAAATGTAAACAAAGCGTTTGTTTACATTACGGACTTTACAGCATCTTTAATGTAAGTTTATTACTTTGATTATTTTACACTTGTTACTGACATTAGTTGAGCCCCCTGTGATCAAATTTGATTGACAGGCATATCGATTTCGACCAATGGGAATTTTGCGTTGTGTGGGCAATGCGTATTTCGTTTCTTGATGTGTTGTCGGAAGTCCCTCCCTTCTCCTGAGGGACTGCTCGCAGTCTAGATATACATGTTACTATACTAAGTACAGGAGGAAGATGTATTTTATCTTTATAAGCGTTCTTTCTTAGAGCTTCTTACAGTTCTTTGCGATAAATTTCAACACTTTTGGGAAATTGAATATTAAAGTTTTGTTGACAACTATTAACTCTTATTAATGTTATGAATTTTCTACCGAATTTGTTTATCTACAAGCATAATTTTAATCGCAGCGTTTATATTTATTAGGAAAAATATAAACTGGAAATTCTAATTTCTATATTTTGGTCGAAGAATGTGGCTAGTCTGGCTAACTTTGAATTCCTATAGCATGGAGAGGGGGGACTTCCCTTGTGAAAAGTTGACATCTGGGCAGAATAATGGGTTTATTTACCAATAAAAGATGTACGTACTTGTAGTCTTCCCTATCTAGAATCCTAACTCCTGTAACAAAATGCCTATGGTTAATTGCTGAAAGTACATTTGAACTTGATTTTGAACGCATAGCAGCAGTCATGACCAACTTCGAAGTTCAAATATGGCGGCCAAGTGAGGTTCAGCCTTTTTATTACCAAAACGAAGACATCGTGCCATTTTGCTGTTGTATTGGCATGTACAGTACAACGTTTTACAAAAATATTTTTTCGATCTGCCAACATACGGCGACTTAAAAATGTTTTTTTGTGGTTGTAACTTTTCTTCAAACCTCGTCCTAAAATACGTGAAATAACGTTCTAATCCCCCTGTATTCCTCGTGCCTTTGGCTCTAGCATTCGAAATGCCAAAAAAATTTGCCCACTCCCCAAATTTATACCCTGGATACGCCATTGAAAACGCATGATCGCTTGTTAATGTTGCTGAAACTAGTATTTGTGCAGTTCTTCGATGACCGTAGTTACTATCTATAATAATTTTCAAATGTGTTGGAACAGATACCCCAAATGCCTATTATTTTGACAAACTTTAATCCCCCCACCCCTTTTCAACGTTGGGTTTCAGAGTTAGCATTTTACTTTGGCTTGTGATCGAGTGAACAAGTGAACAACATTGAACGGGGAGGGAGATATCATTTTTGTAATAATTTGCATATATCCACTGATGACTCAACAACTTTTGAAAATGATTGTTTGTTTTGCTGACGTGTATTTCAGTGCTAACATTGAACATTTATCATTTATAGACTCTTCGCTCGGGGGATTCAGCGAAATATTACCCGAAGTGATAATATTTGGAAATATCATCACTGAGGGTAATATTTCGCCAAATACTCCGAGCGGAGGGTCTATAAATGATATATTATGCCGAAAATTAAAAGCCTCCAAGTTGAGAATATAAAACTTGCCACATACCTTCGTGAATACGATGTTTTATTTTTTATTAACACAAGTATTAGTCTCTTTTCTTTCGAATCACATATCGTTAGGACTATTGATGATAACATTTTTCAAAATTTTGCTTCAAACTTTTGAAAAAACCCGATTATTCATCACTCCTTAATACATTTTGTCGGCCATCTTGTTTGTGAGATCGCCCCCCGTGGTTTGCGCGAATCATATCACTCGATCACCCTACGGCAAATACGATGACGTAAGGTGTGATTCGATGACAAATTTCATGCTCACGTGGCACAAGCTTAGCTTTCTGATCGGACACTTTGAATCTGAGGTATAAAATTCTGTTAAAGACAATTGTGTTGTCGCAAAGTATCTTAACTCATAAGAGTAGGAAATATTCCTTTTCAGAGACTCTAAATTACAAACATTTGTCGGGGCTGCATGTCACCGAACCAGGGGCGGACTGGCTACCTCAAGGCGGCCCGGGCGATTTGGCTAGATAGGGGCCCTGACCGCCCCTCCCCCCAAAAATTACCTTATCCTATTTTAATTTTTAGTAGGTACTTTTACCATTAGTCATTGATCTGCAAACATCTCATTGTTTTATAAAAGTAACGTACGCAAATGAATTATAAATGAATATGATTTTATGTTCTTATCGTCAAAATAGAGAAAGGAAATAATATGTTTATATTGTCTACTCTTCAATGTCTTCATGGCATTAGGAGCCGTCTCAGTGCCGAGTAGCTGTTGGGAAACTGGTTGATGATCTCTTCATTTGATTTGTCACGAATCGGCGATATGGATGGTCCAAACAGGAAAAATCTTGGTAAAATCCTTCTGGTTCTCAAATCTACTAATGGTGCTTGTTATCCATTATGACATTGAATACATTCACTGCACTTGATAGTCCTCATGAGCATCCATCGCCCTATTGTCAGTGTCATCCTTTTCACCGAAATGTAGTTTCCTTTTTGGAATTCTTTTCGTCGCTTTGGATGGTAGACTTTCTTCTACTCCAACATCGGTATCAAAGGAAGCCCGTTTGCTCTTGGCTTTCTTTGCGAACTGTGTGGTGATATTCAGGACGGTTGGAAACTCTCTGCTGATCATTTCAAATTTTCCAATAGCAGATTGAACCATTCTCCATGCTTGAAGAAGATCTAAGCCACAAGTTTGAAGGCATTCGGAGAGTGGTGTTGTAATTGAAAATATCCTGTTGAAGGTGGAGGCCGTTAAATTCGTCTCAAACTTTAGCATTTTATCTATTACAGTTTTTTTGCCTCGTCTCTGGTAGACTGGTTAAAGAGCGCACTGCTTGCAATTTCTGACCACGAAACCAAAACATATACGTATAAGGAATTGTTTACAGCCTCTCCGTCATCATACTTCCCAAAGATTTTCTGAATCGCACCCGCTTTGGCCCACGAACGTGCATTTCCAAGCTTCTTAAGCTTATCTGCTCCAATTTTTTAACTCCAACCGGCACTGAGTCCACTCATTCATTCGGTTGTACGATCCGCGATAAAATGAGGCTAGCTGTTGAATTAAGCAAAATGAAAAGACTCGTTGCAGGAAGCGTGGAAGAAGTTGTGTGTGGTCCCCGAGCACAAGGTTAAGGGTGTGCGCATAATAGCACCAGACGTGGATGTGGTTCTTAGCAAGTTCACCTATCCGAGCTTGCATACCTCTGTACTGTCCTGACATCATCGCGGCGCCATCAAAACTACAGTATCTCCGACGCAGTTTTTTCTCTTTGCGTTGCTTGTACTTGCCCAGTTCCCCAGATTTCAATGTTAAACTACAGGGACAGGATTGCGCGGGTCCCATAATATACCAACATGCAGTGTCGCCCATCGATTTTTCTAGTATATTGCTATATTTTTGATTGCTTTAAATTGCAAATTTGCACACTGACCCGAGAATATTTTCGAGTTAATCACGCATCTCTGCAGCTGATTACGCCCGCTTATTCCGTCTTGCGATTTGGCAACCGCCAAAGCCATCCCTTTTGTGTATCTATTTGTGTATATATAAAGGAAAAATACTAGGGAGAAAAGATTGCAGAGCCCCTTAGTCGGGCGAGAAAAGTGGTTGAAGCGTGCTTCCCGCTTTTCATGCTTATGATTTGGAGCTTCTAGCTATTTTATTTAAATAACATTTAGGCCAATTTGAAGGGCCCCAAAACGGACTTACAAGCAAGGGGCCCACCGGGCTTTTGCCCGGCGGGCCCGACCTGCCAGTCCGCCCCTGCATCGAACCCTTCTAGGTTAAACAGACAGTCTAAGAACGATATTTTATTGCCTGTTAAACGTTCGCCCCCTTCTCGGGGACCTTATAAATCCCCTCGTCAGGGAAATCCTGATGCCATCATTGCTTTATGTGTTTTATATCTCACACATACCTAACTCACTTTTCCTTTTCCTGCAATTCTATTGCGCACCTCCTACGCGCATCTGATGACGTCACTTCCTGTTTGTCACAAATCAAGCTTGCCCAGACACGCCCAAGACTATTACGTCACTTCCGGTTTCCAAAAAATCCCACAATCCCTCGCGCCACTCTCGGAACCCTCCGTCTCCCGAAATCTCTTCCCCATCAAGCGCATTCCTTGCACAACCTCCCAAAGTCCCCCACAAACCTCCGCCTCAGGCGTCTGCAGAATGCTTTCCGAAGTCTTCCAGAAGTCTTCCCGAAGTCTTCCAAAAACAAAATCAACATTTCAGACGTAAAAATTTTTTCTATATAATAAAAGGAAAGATGAATAACCGACAAGAATTTACGGATAAAATAAGGGAATGGTACAATTGGTTAACTACCCACGTACCGTCATCCATCAGGAAAGGCGTGTCCGACGCTTTTAACACCATGAGGAAGAAGGTTGTAAAATTATACAGCGGCAAAGAGGAAGAAGAAGACCAATGGTACGACGCAAGGGAGAACCTCAGCGACGAGGACGAACAGTGGTACGACGTCAACCCGGAAGAGGACCTAAACCCGTCCTAACCAAGCATGGTATCAAGAAAAAGGTAAAAAAGTACGTCATCAACCCCTAAGGTGCGTACGACCCGGCCCACTTCCTAACCATCACAAAAGACGAGGTTGAGGCGCTCATAAATTCCCGAGAAACGTAAGCATGTCTCTGGCGTGCGAAATGGTAAGAAACGATCCGAAAACTGGGGAAGAAGTATCCACCGTCGCCCACTTCAGGTCAAAAACCCATAAACTCGTCGGTATGGACGATACGGAAGAGGTTCCCGACATCATGAGGGAAAAAATGTTAAAGTCCTTTTCGGAGTACCAAAAGCGAGGTAGTGGGTGGAGACTCAGAAGGGTAGATCTGCTCGAAATCCATATTGGAAAATTCCAACCACTTAAGTGAAAAGGGTATGAACCCTTATCTGAGCCAATCAAAAGAAAGAAGGCGATCATCAATATGAAGAACAACAACGAGTGCTTCAAGTGGGCTGTAACACGCGCTCTAAATCCTACCAACACCCACCCGGAAAGGATTTCGGATGAACTCGAAGGGCAGTTCAGAAAGCTTAACTGGAAAGGAACCGAATTCCCAATATCCTTAAACAACATCAAAAAATTTGAAGAGAATAACAACATCGGTGTAAACGTTTTCAGCGCCGACGAAAGTTTAAAGGTTTACCCTCTAAGACTAGCCGGAAAAACCAATCCCATAAACCTATTTCTATGGAAAAACCACTACAGCGTCATCAAGGATATGTCCAGGCTCGTAAGCGCACAAATCAATGGAAAAAAGAACAAAAAATACATTTGCAGTTGTTGTCTCAACGCATTCGGTTCGGACGAGCTTCTAGAAAAGCACTCGGAGCTATGTTCGAACAACGACTACCAAAGACACGAGTATCCGAAACCTGGTAGCTCCACCAAGTTTGAAAACTACGGAAAAACACAAACCGTTCCGTTCACCATCTATGCGGACTTTGAGTGCTACATCGAAGGGTTGGACACAGTGGAACAAAACCCGAACAGGTCAAGCACCATCCAATACCAAAAGCATAATCCCAGCGGATTCTACTACTACGTCAAGTGTTTTGACAATTCCATCTACAAACCCAAGCTGGTACACTATACCCAGCAACATGAGGGAGAAGACGTTACCAGAACGTTTGTGGACATGTAGGAAGAGGAAACCCGTGATATCTATAATAGATTCAAATTTCCACAAACCATCAACATGACTTCCGACAACGTTAGAGACCATGAAAAAGCAACCGTCTGCTATGCCTGCAAAAAAAAGTTTACTCCCGACAACCATAAGGTCAAAGACCACTGCCACTACACCGGTGTGTACAGAGGTGCGGCACACAACACATGCGATCTGAGAATGAAACAACCAAAGTTCATTCCGGTACTCTTTCACAACCTCGAAGGGTATGATACCCATCTATTTGTCAGGAACCTCGGGTAAGCAGCAGCGATATTAAATGTATCCCCAAAACGGAAGAAAAGTACATCTCCTTCACCAAAGAAATAGAGGTTGACGAGTTTAGGGGTAAAGATGGTAAGAAAAGAAAGGTCAAAAGGGAGCTGAGGTTCCTGGACTCGTTTAAGTTTATGGCCAGTTCCCTAGACAAACTCGTTAAGGGTTTAGGTAAGGACGACTTTAGGAACTTGGACCTAATGTCAACATGTTACACCAAAGAACAGAAGGAGCTGCTCAAACAGAAGGGTGTTTACCCCTATGAATACATGGACGGTTTCGATAACCTCGGAAAAGCGTCACTTCCGCCAAAAACCAAATTCTTCAGCAAGCTGAACAACGAAGACATCAGTGATGTGGACTACAAAAGAGCTCAAACCGTGTGGAATACCTTCAACATGCAAACCATGAGGGATTACCACGACCTATACTTAAAGACGGACGTCCTACTCCTAGCGGATGTGATGGAAAATTTTAGGAAGGTCTGTAAAACGAACTACGGACTGGATCCAATGTGGTACTACACAGCACCCGGACTCGCTTGGGACGCCGCACTGAAGCTGACGGAAGTGGAACTGGAGCTTACCTCCGATCCGGACATGTATTTGTAATATGTACCTATTTATTGAAAAGGGGGTGGTGTCATTCGAGGTGGAATCAGTAGCATCACCAAAAGGTACGTCAGGGCGAACAACAAGTACGTGACTAAGTACTATCTTAAAAAGGAAAGCATATACACCCCCTATATGGATGCAAACAACCTGTACGGATGGGCGATGAGTCAACCCCTACCCATCACCGACTTCAAATGGATGGATGGTGAGGAGCTGGAAAAGTGGAGCAACTATGGTTGTATCCTCGAAGTAGACTTGGAGTACCCTGAGGGACTGCACGACAAACATAACGAATACCCCCTAGCGCCGGAAATAATGGAAGTTAACAAGGTGGATAAACTCATCCCAAACCTAAATGACAAGGAGAAATACGTCGTCCACCACGAGACCTTAAAATTGTATCTGGACCTGGAATTAAAGCTAACCAAGGTACACCGAGGTGTGAAATTCACCGAAAAGCCATGGCTGAGGAAATACATCCAACTTAATACGGACCGGCGTACCAAAGGTACTACGGACTTTGAAAAGGATTTCTTCAAACTGATGAACAACTCGGTATTCGGGAAGACGATGGAAAACGTTTGGAACAGGGTTGACATAAGGCTCGTCAACAACGAAAAGAAGTGGAACAAGTTGGCTCAACAGCATAACTTTAAGTCCGCAACCATCTTCTCTGAAAACCTTGTGGCAATCCACATGAAAAGGACATCCGTAAAGCTAAACAAACCCATCTACCTTGGGATGAGCATACTCGACCTAAGCAAAACGCTTATGTATGATTTCCATTATAATTATATTAAACCAAAGTATGGAGAGAATGCCAGGCTCCTATTCACGGACACGGACTCCTTGTGCTACGAAATCAAAACCGAGGACTTCTTCAAGGACATCTCCAACGACATCCACAAAAGGTTCGACACCAGCAACCTCGGCAAAAGCCATCCGTCCGGAATTCCGACAGGTGTAAATACGAAGGTTATCGGGATGATGAAGCTGGAAACCGGCGCAAAGCAGATCGAAGAGTTCGTAGGATTAAGGTCAAAGCTATATATATGCTTATAGGATGGCAGAGGACGGTAGTGAGGAGAAAAAGTGTAAGGGTGGTAAAAATCATTCGACAACTATAAGGAATGTCTCTTCAGCGGTGAGAAGCAATGGAGGGGGATGAATGTTTTTAGGAGCAGGTTGGACGAAATATATACGGAAAGGGTTGTCAAGGTAGCTCTATCGGCAAACGACGATAAGAGGGTGGTCAATAGGGACGGAATAAACCCAACGGCAATAGGACATAAGGACCCGAACGAACCAATTTTAATATTTGAAGGAACATTAAAATTCTAACGGGTCTATAGAAGTCTCTTCCGAGGTTCCGACACCTTTTCCCTGAAATACTTCCCCTCCTGGAGCTTTACCTGAACGGAAACCATATTTCCGGATAGATATATGCTTGAAATTCTGATCAAAGCATCCAAGTAGATGTGACCGTCCCTCTGCTCCATCGGATTCATGTCCCACCTCCGTCCGCCCTAAACATCACCGTATTCCGGTCGACATTCGCATACAAAACCGGTTGCATTCCGTTCCGATAGAAACATCTCATCACATTGGTGTCTGGTTTTCCGACGGCCGCAGCACACTTCTTCTCCACTGTTTCCAGAGCTGATACAAATTCCGTATGTGCTCCGACTGCTAAAGGAAAGGTATAGTTGTCCTTTCCGAACTTGTTGTTTTTGTTGATCCCATAGGCCAGGCAGTTTTCCAGCTTGAGTAGAAGAGGTCCACCATCTTCCGCCACAAGTCCGATCTTTCCAGACCCGAACCTGTTGTTCCTGATGGAATCCTCAAATACGAACGAATTTTCTGATACTCTGGTAAAATTTTTTACCTCCTAAAGTTGATTTTGTTTTTCCAAACCCAAAGTGTTTGAAAGTAACAATCATGACTGGTTCAAGGATCACAAGGACTTACGGATAGGGTCCTCTTTATTATACAGAAAAATGTTTACGCCTGCAATGTAGCCTGCGTAGCAGGCGCTATTTAGGGGGGAGGGCGAGGGTGGGAGAAACTAGGGGGGGGGGGATGCGAAGGCGAGAGAAAGAGAGCGAGGAAAAATGGGAGGGGCGAAAAAGAAATAGCTATTTCTTTCTCGCCCCTCCCATTTTTCCTCGCTCTCTTTCTCTCGCCTTCGCATCCCCTCCCTAGCTTCTCCCACCCTCGCCCTCCCCCGTAAATAGCGCCTGCTACGCAGGCTACCTGCAATGTTGATTTTATATCAATTTTGTAATTATGAATCCGGACCCTAGTCCCAATATTCCGATCGTGATCTGCTGGTATTCTTCCATTTCGCTTGATGGTTTGTAGTAATCGTGAATTGTTGGTTCCTTATCCAGGGTTAGTTCCTCCTGCGCTTTCCGCAGGGAGTCCAGAGCACGGTTTGTTGCTTCCATATCCGATTTGGCGTCGACTAGTTCCTGTCTGAGTATCGCTATTCTGTTCCTTTTTTTCTACTTGACTTTCATACCATTTTTCTTTGGCTTTGGCTAACTTTTCCAACGCTCTGTTATGTCTTTTCATTTCGTCTTCGTATCCACCATGGTTTAATTTGCTGGACAGAAATCCAGCTCCGGCAAATGCTACGGCGTTGAATAATCCTCCAACTACAACACTTGTCATCTCCTTTTATTATAGTGGTTTATTTGAATGGATCATCCGGTACTAGATTTTTTAATTGTAAATAGTGAACTCCGACCGCACCAAATCCAACGGCTACGGCTAGTTTCAGAATTCCTTTCGGACTACTAGGTACTCCCAGACTGTCGTCCGCAAATTGTTTTCTTACCACGGATCGACACAGCGACTGCGCCAAGCGTGATAAGTCCGGCATCGGAAGCGTCGTTCATGAAATCTTTTCTATCTCCCATGTTTTATTATGTAGTATTTATTTTTCTTCCTCGGATTCATCGGTATCCTGACAGTTGCATGGTTCTTGGGGTTTATCCATAGAGGAAATTGCTACCATGTTGTCCATGAGGTGGTATCCGAATTTCACTGCTCCCAACAACCCCAGAGCTTGTCCTGCTGTGAGACCACCGTTTACTGCAATTGCGGCGATTGCGCTGAGTACGATGAGTTCGTTTGTGTTACTAATTTATTATATATTATTTTTCCTTCTTCGTTGTACAGGAAGTAGGTTAATGCGAGAGCTAAAATCCAAAGATTCTTCGCCAGAAACGCAATACCCCTTGCTCCCCATGACAAAACTTTAGCGATGTGATTTAGTACGGATGCTAGTACGGGTCCGACCTTCCCGGCTAGGTTCGCCATTGCTTTTGCGAATTTGCTTGTTGCTCTTCTCCCTTTTTTGCTACGCTTCTAGCTCCCATAATAATCGTGGTGATGATACCCGCCACAGACATTGCCACGACTGATATTCCGGATATATTTTCTTTTGCCCATTTCTTAAATCTTTCGAACCTTGTAAGATCGTTTATTTCTACCTCTTCTTCCACAATGGACATAGCTCTTGGTCCTTTTGGTCGTTCGTTTGATCTTAACCTTATTTCGTCCGCTTTCAACTCTGTCATGTCTGCCATTGCTTCGTAAAGGAGAGCCTTCTGTTCACGTCCTGCAGTTCGTTCGGTTTCTATTTCAAGATGGTCAATTTTTTCCTTACCTGAGTTTCCTTTTACGTTCAGGATACCTCTCAGTTCCTTTAGTTCATTTTCCGATATAACTGTACTATTACCGAGAGCTTCGCTTTGATTGGATAATTCATCATCCATTCTTTCGACGATATTTTCTAATACGCTATCTACAAGTTCCTGGGGAGCATCTAGGTTTTGCCGTTCGAGTTATTCCTCCACTAAGGTTGCAGGTGTTTTTGAATGTTCTATTTTAGCTTTCCTGATCAGTTCTTTGTATTTGTTTACGGTGGATTGCTTGTTCTTGTCCGTGGAGTATATCATTTTCCCATTCTTCGAAATAATTATCTTAACATCCTTGAATGTAGCACCGTTAATTTTTGTTCCGGTCTTATTTACGGTTAGCTTCATTTTGTCGAAGATGATGGTGGAAGATGAAACTTCCGGGTATTTACCAAACCTTTTCTTGAATTCCTCCAATAATAAGTCCACAGCCTTTGTCATGTTTTTCGTATCGTTTCTGTAGACAGGAATAGCGAACCCGTAACGGCTCAGAATCTCGACAGCTGTTAGTATCCAATAATATCCCTTGTTCTGGTTTCTGTATTTCCCCATATCCACCAGATCCATCTGCACTTGGTCTGATAAGTCCTTAACGAATGTTCACTGAAATTTGTGTTTTCTGACAATAGGTTTATACCTGGTGTAGGTGTCTTGGGTCTTTAACCATTATTGCCATAAACCCTACTTCCAATGTCTTTGTAAAACGTTGTTGTTAAGTTTAGATGTTGGTCAGATGTCACGGGTAGCGTGCCCACTGTAAAACTTCCTTTACCGTCTACACCAAAATTTAGTGATGTATTAACAACATCACAGTCGATGGTAATATATTTAAGACCGCGATTAATATTTATAGGAAAGGGAGATCTCTCCCACACTTCGGAGGTTAGGATCTCCGTTTCTGGAAATCCTATTAGTGGAGCAAATTCATTTAAATGTAAGTTCACCTTGGTTGCCGGATAAATTCTGCAGGTATTGTCGTGCGTGTTTCGTTCTATTACTATTTCGTCTGCCTTTAGTTTTTTCTTTATTGTATCGAAGGTCCAGTAGCCTTCGTCGAAGGTAATCTTCTTCTGTCCGTAGGTAATATTATCGTTGACACCCGAACGTATGTTTTTCTTATGCCCAGTAAATGGTTGCGTTCTTTAGGATTAACTCTGACTTTGCGTCCGTTCTAATACACTTGTCCGGAAAAAATTTCGTAGTTCCGTTTTCAATAAACACCGTTAACTTCTTCATTTTTTATTATATAATAAATAAAATGAGTACTAGTGAAGACATATTCCGCGACTATTACGGAGAGAACTATGAAAAAGTAAAGGCGGCAACACCCGCAGAAATACGGAAGATGAAAGAGGATTTTAGGAAAAACTATTCAGGCACAGAAATGTCCAAATTTGACTTTCAGGTCACATTTGCGAAGAATGGAACCTTGGAATCCAAGGACATATTCTTTAAGGTTACGGACCACTGAGCTATACTATATCGTGACGTGATGTGATTAGTGGCGTGCGGAAGTCAAATTTGCGCTCCGCAGTTACATAGAAAATTCAATATTTTTCCTGGACTTGAAAAGCCGGAAAATTAGAAAGTGTTGACTAAAGTCTCGAAGAGCTGGTATTTGGTGAGAGTTCTTGGAAATTTATTCGAAAGACGATTATTCTTGCATTCTCAACATTTCTTTTTGGGAAAAGTTTAGATATTTGATTTTGCTGCGTGCGACCGTTTAATTGGCATCACGTGTGCAAACTCTGCACGTCAGCGCGCGTGCGGATCAATTATCAAATTAAGAAGAAATTAATTGTAATTCCAAGTGCAATTGGAAAACCTTCCTGCGAACTTAAATTGTGCAATTCTCGGCAATCAGAACTGACAACAAACTTTATACCCAACAAGTCAAGGCACAGATTACTTCGGACATGTCCTGTTGCAAATGTAAACGCTCAGGTCGTTGTAGAAACTGTTCCTGCGTGAAAAACGGTACTACTTGTCAGAACTGTGCTCCTCATCGATCTGGTCAATGTGATAATAGAGTACGCCAACCACAGCATGTGTCATCGGATCCTGGCAACTCCGCCTCCATAACCATAAGCAGTCAGCAAACAAATGTCAAACATGAAACCACAACCAACAGCGAAAGTGGAACAACTTCACAAGATGATACTTCTTCGCGGAATTTGCTAACTGTAACGAATTCATTCCCTGACCTACAACCACCAAACTTTACATGGAACTCTGGTAGTGGTGAGATATTTTGCCGGAAAATAAACACGGCCTACGAGGAAGTTGTCCATCGGAGACGAAACATTTTTCAAGTACCTTCAGGAAACGCTGGAAAATCATTTGTCTCTGAGCTTGCCCGTTTATATCAAGCTTACGCGGACAGTTCAAGTCTAGAATGCATCGCTATGAAAGCAACCACCGTATTTCCGATCCTAGTACTCCAAAAACCAAGCCGAACAAGCAAAAGTAAAGATCATGTGAAACATCTGCAAAGACGAATAAAATTATGGCTTGACGGCGACATAGAAGCACTCCTTGACGAAGGTGAATGTATTCAAAAGCGACTCAGCAAATTGACCACTCCTCAAAGCAATGATGTCATCGCCCGAATGTTTAGAAGCCTCACGTTACAGGGGAAAGTCCAGAGTGCACTGAGATATATCTCAAGAAATAGCAATGGCGGAGTTCTCAAATTAGATGACCTCATTCCCGTAACGACAAAACAGGGCGAGTCAATCGAACAAACGACAAGAGAAATCCTGAAAAAGAAGCACCCTATAGGCAAAGATCCAGTTACTTCCTCTCTTATTGACGGCGAACCAGAGACAGTTAACCCTATCACATTCGATGGCCTAGACGCAGATGCTATACGACGTGCTGCTCTACACACTCATGGCGCAGCTGGCCCTTCCGGTTTGGATGCATACGCGTGGAGAAGACTCTGCTCGTCATTCAAGTCTGCCTCGAACAGTCTGTGCATCGCACTGGCTGATATTGGTCGTCGCATTGCTACTACAAATGTCAATCCAGAAGGACTGAGTGCATTTGTCGCATGCCGTTTAATCCCGCTTGACAAGTGCCCAGGCGTAAGACCAATTGGAGTCGGCGAGGTTCCACGAAGAATTATTGCGAAAGCCATTCTAAGAGTCATTGGCAGTGATGTAGTAGACGCAGCTGGTCCATTTCAACTCTGTGCAGGTCAAGATGGTGGTTGTGAAGCAGCGGTACATGCCATGCAAAGCATTTTCCAAACACCCGACATCGAAGCGGTACTTCTGGTTGATGCAAACAACGCGTTCAACTCACTTAACCATCAAGCAGCCCTCCATAACATCAGCATAATCTGTCCATCATTGGCGACCACCCTGACCAACACCTACAGAACCCCTGTCAGAATGTATGTAACAGGAGACGGCGAAATTGCATCAACTGAAGGAACAACCCAAGGAGATCCGTTAGCAATGGCGATGTATGCACTCGCGATAAAGCCACTGATTGATAAGCTGAAAGCTGGTTGTCCTGATGTAAACCAAGCATGGTATGCTGATGATGCCACAGGAGCGTCTACCTGCACAGGACTCAGAAAGTGGTGGGATGAACTGACTGATCACGGTCCCTCGTTTGGATATTACCCTAATGATTCCAAGACGTACCTTGTGGTGAAGCCAGAATTTGAGAACGTGGCCAAAGACGCATTCGTGGGCACAGATGCATACCGACCCAAGGGAAACGACATCTTGGGGCTGCTATTGGTTCTAAAACTTTCACTGAGGAATATGTTGGCAACAAGGTACATGAATGGACCAATGACATCATGAACCTGGCTCGTATTGCTTCTTCTCAACCACACGCAGCGTACGCAGCATACATACACGGCTTATCCAACCGCTGGTCTTATCTCTTAAGAACAGTTCGAGATATCGAAGACCTAATACAACCACTTGAAGACGCAATACACATGCATCTCATCCCAGCACTAACCGGACGACCGCCGTGTTCTTCCATTGAAAGAGATCTTCTCTCACTTCCTGTTCGTCTTGGAGGACTTGGGCTTCGTGATCCATCAACAATGGCCTCGGCTTGTTTTCAATCCTCACAGCGCATTACTGCATCACTCGTTGCACTGATAATCTGCCAAGACGAAAATGAAACGGTTGATTGTAACAACGTTCGTATGGTCAAAAGCGAGATCAAGAGAGAAAACCGCCAGAGACAGGACGAACACGCTGAAATAACATACAACCAGCTGACACCTGAAATGAAGCGTTGTGTGGAACTTTCTCGAGAGAAAGGGTCTTCGTCGTGGTTATCTGTTCTCCCGCTTGAGGAACACGGGTTCTACTTACACAAGGGAGAATTCAGAGACGCACTGTGTCTATGGTATGGATGGAAAGTGAACAACACGCCTCAAACATGCAACTGCGGTGCTCAATTCACCGTAAATCACGCCATGATCTGCCACATGGGAGGTTTTCCAACTATCCGCCACAACGAGATTCGTGATTTAACAGCGTCACTCCTCGCTGAAGTGTGTAGCAATGTTGCCACAGAGCCAGCACTTCAACCGCTGAGTGGAGAGAGCATGTCAGCTCGCACAGCCAACACCGATGACAGTGCCCGAGTTGATATTCGGGCAAGAGGTTTTTGGAATGGTCAGCAGGATGCATTTTTTGATGTAAGGGTGTTCTATCCCAACGCGTCCTCCTACCGCTCGCAGAACCTCGCATCCGTTTACAGAAGACATGAACAGGCCAAGAAACGAGAATACGGAGAGAGAATTAGGAATGTCGAACGTGGTGTTTTCATGCCTTTAGTTCTATCAACGACCGGCAGCATGGGAAGAGAGGCTGAAACGTTTTATAAATGTCTTGCGGATATGATATCCAATAAGAGACAACAAAAATATTCCGCGACCATAGGTTGGCTACGATGTAGAATGTCGTTTGCATCGTTACGATCTTCAATAATGTGCATTCGTGGAAGTAGATCCTCGATACATCGGCCCATATTCGGGGATTCCAACATCTCCCTGGCAACTTCCAAGGCACGGATCCCTCGGCCTCGTGAATAACTTGATTGAGGACTTACCTATGGGACTTACGAACTGACATTAATAAAACAGTTAATAAATATATTTTTAAAAATAATAATAATGTATAACGCATGCTTGAAATGTTACATATTAATAAATCTATTGTTATGTAAAAAAAAAAAAAAGAAAAAAAAAGGTTACTACTTTTATTGCTCAAAAAAAATCAAGACAAGAATATAATCCATGCATTGGAAATTTAATCGACAAAGTCCATGTCGAACCATTACATCTAAAAAACAATGCATGTGCACTCATGTTTCAATATATCTTAGATTTCACCATTGCCAAGTCTAGGTTAGGCCCTAGTGTTAATGATTTTTCTTCAGTTGATTCACAGTCTCCTTTTGCTGCACTAATATCGAACATGCGGTCTGTCAGTAACCTTTCACGCTTGGCAAAAAAAGTTATAAAGTGGTTCAATGACACAAAAGCAAGTGCAAATTCTTTCGATTAACGATTTACTGGGCATGAATCACAATGATTTCTGCATAATTTCATGTATTTACATTCGGCAATTCAGCATAAAAATGATGAAGCACCAGCCAGGCTCAAGCTACATGGATTGGCATTTACCATATTATCCCTACGAGATGCAGTGTCCCTGCATGTTCAACCGGTTTAATGTGGAAGAAAAACAACTAGACCAACTTGATAAAGTTTGTAATGATTTCTATTCTTGCTGTGCACTGTTTCTTGAGGTCAATCCTATGGTGTGGACCCTTGGATGAGTGGTTCCAGTTCATGCAAGTGATTCCAGTTCAAGCGATGAATACTGCTATTGTGGTCTCCTGTTCACAGAAGGAGTGTGCAAATACTGCAACCATGCAAACAGAGCGGAACTTTTAAAGAGTATCAAATCGAAAAAGGCTAGCATGGAACTCAAGCAAAAATTAAACAAAGCTTTTCAAACTGGTTCTTTAAACATTTTAGTTAAATTTACATAATTTTACTAACTTTCAACATTATGCTACAGTTTACGCTTTAGGCCAATGCTGGTTATTGTTAATACCATGGTCTTGTTAGTAGAACACGAAAATTCATAATTATACTTCCTAACATTTCTTATTATTCAAAAGAATGCTTGTGTTAAATCACAGTTAATAAAATGCATGGTTTGGAGACTCAGCGAAAACACAGTAGCGAAAACGCAGTACAGCTCATTATCTATGTTGGTGTAGGTTTATGCAAAATATGGGTTCTATCTCGTCATGTGTGTATTGTGTTTTCACGAAATCAACCAATAGTAATGTGTAGATTGACCAATTGTTTCGGTCACGGATGAACAGCCGAGCCGAACATTCAGCTGTTAGTTGTTTACGATAAAATACAATACATATGTGACGAGAAAGGAACAACTTTTTGCATAAATGTGGACAATAACATAGATGATGAGTTGTATTGTGCTGTAAGTGAGCTTCCAAACCATGCATATTTTATTAACAATGGTTAAATTGATTGTCAATTTCTCTCTGTTATTTTCATAAAAGTGTGAATAACCCAAAATATGATATTTTGTTATTTGTAATATTTGGGTCATTTGAAGAAATGTGATATATCCTAATAATAAAAAATTTCATTTTGATCAACTTTTTCATTGTCAAAGCTTCCAGATGTGATGTCATTAGATGAATTGCAAATTACTTTTTCTTTGTTTTTTGTACCAAAAATTCAGCTAATGACATCATATCCGGGGACTTTGACAGTGAAGAAGTTGATCAAGACGAGGTTTTTTACTATAAACATACATAACATTTCTTCTCAGAATGACCCAAATATTACACATACCAAAAATTATATTTGGCGTTAGTCGCACTTTACTCAATTATAAAAATACAAACTTTGATGCAGTTAAGCACCTATCAATGGGTCATTGCAAAAAATATCCACATACCTCGAAGAAGTAAATTTGTCTGTAAATATCCAGTTCTCCTTATTACATTTACTAGAAAAATACCGCAAAGTATTATCAAAGTAGTTGTATTCAGTAAATGCAATAAGTGGAACTTGCTATTTGGCACTTGAGCGGCACTGGATGTTTTAGCTATCTGGGACGAAAGTTCTACGTAAACATCACACGACACATCTGACAATGCTTTTTGACTGCAGTACTTTCTCACCAGTCACTAAAGCCTAGTTCTCATTCATCGCAAACTGTCACCGACGATCGGCGACGCTTATCGCCGATGCTCGCCCACTGCGAATGCACGAAAGTTCTCGTACATCGGTGATTGTCGCAGATGACAACCGATGTGTTTCGAAATTTCCCACCAAGGCACAAAATGGCCCCATTCAATGTAAAGATCATGATTTCTGTCAAACTTCAGTTGATTATTTCCTTGCTTGTTGAGGAAGACACAACCTTTACTCATTTCTCATAGATTTTTCAAGCAGGTGGCAGTCGGCGATGGTTGCAAGAAACAAACTTTTTTGTTTCCTGCGATGTCATTGCCGATGGTCGGCGACGATCACGGACAATCGGCGATATAATTTTTGATGTGTTCTCATAAATCGCAAGCGGTCGCCGACGTCGCAAAGCTCCCATCGCCGACGGTTTGCGATGAATGAGAACTAGGCTCAAGAAACAAAGGCGCTGAATTTGCTGATTATATTTACGAATCTGAGGTTGATATTGCTGTTCTTACTGAAACATGGCTGAAGTCTGTCAGCGTGGCAGCTAGGATTGATGCTACACCTACTGGTTATTCTCTTTTGAACTGCCCACGCCCTAACAGAATCGACGGAGGGACTGCTATTTTATTGTGTGATACACTTCAGGTAAAAAAGCGGATGACAGGTATTATGAATTTGTTTGAATACTCTGATTGGACTATTGTCTCTGGCTCATTTAGGATGCGGCTGGTTGTAATTTATAGGCCCCCGTATTCAGCTAAACATCCTGTAACCACAAGCACATTTATTTCGGAATTTGCAGAGGTTTTGGAGTCTCTTGTCATGGCAACTGAGCCTCTATTGATAGCTGGTGACTTTAATATCCACTTTAAGGTGGTTCGGAGGTTCGGAGGTGGTGTGAGGTTCCTGGACCTTCTTCAATCGATGGGTTTGGTGCAACACGTAAATTTTCCTACTCATGTATCTGGTAACACGCTGGACCTACTTATCATTCGTGAAGTTAATTCCATATTGTGTCATCCACCCAGACCAAGTTGCTGTCTTTCAGATCATTGCTCCGTTATATTTGACCTAAATGTATCAAAGCCGCAGTTTTTAAGAAAGGAAGTATCATTCCGGAAAATGAAAGCTATGGATATACCATCATTTATTCGAGATCTTTCTAATTCTGTATTGTGTCAAGACCCCCCAATGGAAATTGATACCTTTGGTCAGTTCTTACAACACCACACTATCTGCCCTTTTGGACCGTTATGCCCCAGTAAAGACCAAAATAGTCACTGTTAGACCCAAGGTACCGTGGTACACCGAAGAAATTCGTAAAGCTAAGATAGAATGTAGACGTGCCGAACGAAAATGGAGATCTTCTGCAGCTGATTCTTATTTCAGGCTGTTTAAGAAACGAAGAAATCGTGTCACATATTTGCTGAAAATGGCCAAGTCATCTTTTCTCACTGCCTTTATTGACAAAAATAGTGACAACCAGGGCAAGCTTTTCAAAGCTGTTAAAAACCTATTAGTTGAGAAAGAGAAGTTATCGTTTCCTGGTTATAGTGACGAAACAGTTTTGGCTAATATTGGAATTTTTTTTGTTCAAAAAATTTCTAGCATCCGGGATGAGTTGGACAATGTTGTTCCACAAGATTTTGCAACTGAAACATGTATTGTGGTACCCCCTCGTTTGGCTCCTTCGTTTCATTATCCGAGGACGATGTCTGTGCACTAATTACCAGCTCTAAAGTGACTTCGTGTTCCTTGGATCCAATACCAACAACCTTACTATTGAAGTGTATTGATACATTGTTGCCTGTAATTACTAAAGTTATCAATGTGTCTTTGGAGTCTGGCTATTTCCCTAGGGATTGGAAAGAAGCTGTTGTTTTTCCATTACTTAAGAAATCTGGTTTGGAACTGGCGTTTAAGAACTTACGTCCGATTAGTAATTTAGCGTTTGTTTCAAAACTGATAGAGCATGCTGTTTTTAATCAGACTCATGATCACTTGCAATGGTCAGGACTTTATCCTCTTTTCCAATCGGCATACCGTAAATATCATAGCACCGAAACAGCCTTATTAAAGAGTTACCAATGACATATTATTGAATATGTATTCTCAGCGTGTCACATTGTTAGTTCTGCTTGACTTAAGTTCAGCATTTGACATAGTTGACCATGCGATTTTGCTCAAGCGTTTGAATACTGATTTTGGTATTCATGGAACAGTTCTCGACTGGTATAGATCCTACTTGTCTGGGAGAAGTCAAAATATTTCTTTGACTGGTGTGAAATCTGACAGCTTTGACCTGAAGTGTGGGGTGCCGCAGGGGTCATGTTTAGGTCCTCTTCTCTTCATAATGTATGCATCAAAGTTGTTTGAGATTGTTCGTACACACCTTCCGGATGCTCATGGCTTTGCTGATGACACTCAGCTATATTTATCATTCAAGCCTAACAGCTCTATGAATCAAGCTGCAGCTGTGTGTGCTATGGAAAATTGCATTGCTGAATTAAGACAGTGGATGCTACAGGATAAGCTCAAGAGCAAATGATGATAAGACTGAATTTCTAATTATTGGTTCCAGACAGCAACTAGAGAAAATTGATCAGTGTTATATTCGTGTAGGAGATGCTAACGTTCAGCCTGTTACGTCCGCACGCAACCTTGGCTCGTGGTTTGACTCTAATTAATCGATGTCAGTTCATGTGACAAAGTCTTGTGGAGCAGCATTTTTTTGGCTGCACAACATTAAACGTGTTAGTAGTTTCTTACCAAGAGACAAGTTAGAGATGGTCATTCATGCGTTTGTCACGAACAGGATTGACTACTGCAATAGCCTTTTATACGGACTACCAGATTGTGAGTTAAAAAAAGTTCAGCGAGTTCAGAATGCGACTGCTAGGCTTTTAACGTCAACCAGGAAGTATGATCACATTACGCCTGTATTGCGGGAACTGCACTGGCTACCAGTTAAATATAGGATACAATTCAAGATTTTACTTTTAACTTTTAACTTTTAAAGCTATACATGGCATGGCAGCAGATTATATTAGTAGACTACTTGATGTTAGGCAGCACACACATTATTCTCTGCGTTCAAGCTCAAGTATTGTTCTGAACTATCCCAAGGGACGGATGCTTAGTAGTTTTGGTGATTGATCTTTTAGTGTGGCAGCGCCCAAGCTTTGGAACTCTCTTCCTGCAAGTCTATGTGACACTGTCTCAATATATTGTTTTAAAGCTCAATTAAAAACATATCTTTTCACCTCAGCTTTTGACTGATATATGATCAATATACATTAACATTTTAATATATTTGTAATATTCGTTTGTGAATGTATACATTCTTAGTTGTAGATACTGTACTGCGCTCTTGATCATTTTCATGTAAAAAGTGCATTATAAGTGATTAAATTTATTTATTTATTTAATAGTCTGGCCCTTTGGAATTTGTAAGCAGCCACTGATCCTTACAGATCAGAGGTAACTGGCTCTTGAAGGACTGGACTGTTGCATATCTCCGCTGCAAGCGATTGATGACTGGATGAATGGACTCTGATATATGTTCTGCTTCCATCCCCACTGTGGCTCTTAGGTCACTTTCTCTGATAAATGGTGGGTTATTATGTGAAACTTCATTCCTCTGGCTGGGTAATTGAATGGAAACCAATTGCCAAATGAATAGCAGCACACTTTTAGAAAGGCAACTTCATGCCGACACAATGGCCTAGATGATGCCATAAGAGAATACATTGCTGAAAACTTTTCCATCAGTGTTCTCTTTTTCTGTGCAAGCATGTAATTTCCAAATGTCTGTACTGTTTCATTTTCCAGTGTGATGTCCTGTGGATGAAAAACATGACTGATTTTGTCTCTGATGTCTTGCCCTTTACTTCCAAATATTTTCTCAACATCTTTACCAATTAAATGCTCCTTTGTGATAAACCTGTCTCTTGAGACTAAGTTCATCCATTGTGTAGTGAAACCTTTCCAAAAAAGGGCCCTTTTCTTTTGCTATAAATTCTTCAATTGCTTTCATTTCCTTTTCAATATCTTCCAGTTTCTGTTTCTTTCCTTTCAGTTCAGTTCCTTCTCCATTTCATTCTTTGAATTCTTCAACTGATGAAGATGTTTTCTTCCTTCAACTGCTTCTTTGGAGCGGTCAACTAGCTGTCCTTCGGCTCGCTGATGGAAGTCAGGATCCTCCTTTCTCACGTCAATGATTTGCTCCCACATGTCTGCAATCTACATTTTTTTCAATCTGAAACTTTTCATTTGCCAGCTCAGCAGCAAGTTGGTATTTCTCAGTGACTGGCTTACTGGTTTGTCCTTTTGCTTTGCGGATGTCAACATCAAGGTTGGTTGCAGCTTGTTCACACAAAATCACAATTTGCAGTCCTAGTCCAAGTGCCAGATGGAGATGCATAACTGATAAGCTGATCCTTTCCGATATAAAACTGCCATACATTTGTGAGATTTTTAATCACACCTTTTGGCATGGTTTGTATATTTTAGTACACAATTCGAAATAACTAGAGATTCATTCATAAAATTACTGTAGCTATAAATTGACAAACATGTCGGGTGAGCATGAAGGTAACAGCTAATGGCTACAGGGCAAAAAACATATAGAAGCATGAGCTTGCACCATGTTTTAGGGGAGGAGGGCAAAATTTTAATTTACCCCTTTTTCTTCCCCTTCCCTCTCCCCCCCTCCCCCCTATCGATTGTAGCAATTTTGAACTAGCACTTGGCGGCCCTCAGCGTATATGCAGGTATGTTTGACCACAAAGATTCCAACAACATTACCAATTTTCCAACAGGTCTAAACAATAGGGGGCCCCCCCCCCGGCACCACTGGAAATAGAATGTCATAATTTTTAATTTCATGCAATTTTGGTCTGTAATTTTACCATTCATAATTCCTAATACAATGTCCAAATAAATACATTTTTTACTCACCTTTTCAATGCATTCATATCTGTCTTTGTCTCCTTCAAATATTGCTAGCAACTTGCACCTTTTGCTGCTGTGGGGGTTTGCTGCATTCAGTACTGTAATAACCAATTTAGTATGTGCACTGCCTTTATCACCTGCTATCAATGCCACAAGATGATTGTTCTGAATATTGGTTAGGCATGAAAGTTGGCCTTCTGACTGAAAACTGTGAATCAGGGCAGGTAATACTTCACGAACACTTGTGATTCTTACAAATGTCACTGATTTATTTCCAGAAGTTTCAAATGAGCCACATTCAAAATTCAGATGCTCTCTGTCCAGGAATGTTCTCAACTCTTTCTCAGTACCTATCACATCCTGTCCAGTGATATCACACAATGCTCTTTTTACAACCCTCCAGAGTCCCTGAGGCATTTCCTTTTTTAGTGATGCTGCTTGTTCAACTGTAAATTTTGCAAAAATCTTCAATCCTGCTTCTTGTACGTTTCTCCTTGTTCTCCTTGTACCTTTCCATTAATGCAGATCGCTGGCTGTTAACTGCTTTAGTCGTTTCAGATGGGTCTTTTAAAGTGGCTGCTGCAAACGTATGAATAACTTTCTCAACCGTAAGAGCTCTGCTTCTCACTGTTGAGCTGGAAGCAAGATGGCTGGCTTGGTTTTTCAGCAACACGTATAGGAGCAAGCGTCAAGGGTTGACCATATTTATTCTCTGCTCTGACAAAACCATCTGATGACTGCACAAGCTTTTTTTTAACTAATTTTCGAAAGATAATTTCTTCGGTTTCCGTTATAGGTGACATTGTATCACAACTGTTAGTCAGTTTAACTATTTCTAGTTTAACTATTTCTAGCAATAATATGCCCATAAAGTGAGCCAAATGTAAATCAATGAAACAGAATGATACACCCAATATGATTGTTGAAGAAGAGAGGGAAAATACACAATTAGATGAAATACATGATTTGCTAAAAGTGATGGCCAGGAAGTTATACAAGCTTGATATATCAAAGAGAAAGTTAAGTCTGCCGAAGAAGAGATGAAAGGATTAAAGCAATCTTTGGAGTATGCATATGCAGAAATTGATGATTTGAAGCATCAGCAAGAATTATCAAAAATATGCAATGAAGAAACAAAGAAACGAATTCAGAGTCTGGAAAATGAAAATACCACACTACACGATAGCATCGTTGACCTTAAAGCAAGGTCAATGAGAGACAATTCAGTCTTTTTTAATATTAGCAAACATGAGAAGGAAGATACAACTGTGGTTATTCATAGCCTACTTGAAGAGAAATTTGAAGTATGTGATGTGGCAAATATGATAAAGATTGACCGATTCCACCGTATTGGAAGGAAAGTTCAGACCAACGCAAAACTTGGGCCAATAGTGATGAAATTCAGTTACTTCCAGGACAGGGAATAATGACAGGGAAGAATGCGAGAAAGCTGAAAGGAACAAGAATTGGTGTTTCTGAAGAATTCCCGGAGGAAATTGAAAGAGTTAGAAAAGCATTCTATCCTGAATATAAGAAGCCAAAAGCAGAAAAGAAAAGGACAAGGATGATCAGGGATAAACTTATTATTGAAGGTGTTGTTTTTAAATTGACATAATCTCGTTTCAAATAACAGATCTTTACATATCAATACATATACTCTACTATTCTTTATATCATAATTTTTAACATTTATTTTCAAATAAGAAACCAATCTAATGCCTAAATCAAATATTACTAACAAGAAGACATGTTCTTCTTGCCTTAAACTATTGGGAAATACCAAAAATGGATTGAATGTAACACATGTCACAGTTGGTATCATGCCAAGTCTGCATGTGTGAAATCATTTGACACTAATGTGAATAATGCGGAAATTGATATATGCAAATTATGCCTTGACAATCGCTTGATGATTTAGAATCATTACAAGAGGTAGAACCTTTAGCCAAGATGATATGGATAGAAGAACACAATTAAGTTTTAACCCATTTCAACCGAGTACTGATTTAGAATTACGTGGAATCAGCACGCATCCGGACTCGTCTTTTGACATTGACAAAATAAAGTGACTATTACCTTACAAACGAACTTAAAAATGTCACCACAAAAGACAAACAAAACAATTACTTTTCCTTGTTACACTTAAATATAAGAAGTATAGTATTTTAAACCCAAGGAGGGGCTCCAAATCTGCACATGTTGTAAAATATGACCCAGTGTTACCTCTGCCCTCCTTCCACTTGATGTTTCCCTTATATATTTTGACAAAAGTGCATACATGTCATTCTCATGCTTACAAGCATTTCTTCCCTCTTCAGAAAAGCAAGGGTGAAGAAGGGTAACTAGCTTCTTTCTTGATACTTTGGTGGCATTACTTGGGCACATTACGTGTAAAAACAGGGGCAAATTCCTGCCAACTGATACAGGCCCAGGCTACAAAATCCCTTTCTCAAATGAGAAACACATGGGCTTGGATGTTCTTCAAACAACAATTTTTGGACAATTTGCTCTGACAAAAAATGGGGAAAAGGGCCATTCTGCAAAATAATTTTTCCCACTTCCTCGTACTCATCAGCTAAAAGAGTATGCAAGCCCTTATCAAAGTATTTTTCTTTGATTTCTCTCATGCATAACCTAAAACACATGCATGACATTTGCACGGGAGTGCTTCCACATTAAAATTTTCAATTTCTATGTATGACAGCAAAATTTTCTATAAATTTAAATAACTTTAATAAAATGTCATAAATTACCAATGCTATGTTAAGGGACAGACCATTATTTTTTTGGAGGGGAGGGATGGACATTTCGTCAATGCAAACAATTTTCTTTGGTGTTATTGTCGTTGTAAACAATTATAGAAAGAAAGAAAACAAACTCATAGAAAGAGAACAAACTACAAAGCCTCTGCGGATGGGATTGTACCAGATGTCACATGTGTAACTTCATAGGACTTTGTGTCCTCGAATTTCCCTAAGCTGAACATGTCATGTAACATTAAATATTGGCTCATTCCATGTCAAATCATCAGAAGTTGTAACCCACCACTTTGGATTTGGCTAATTTTTTATCATCCGTAGACATAGGTAAGAAATGAACATATACAAAGTTTGAAGTTAAGATCTCCAATGTTTATTGATTTATGGCTGATCAAAAATTTCCCGATTTTAGCGCTTCAGCTACCTTAAAGTGCCTATATCACTCATGGGATCTTTATGGATTTGGAAAGAGCACAAAAAGTTAGTATAGAAGGTCTAGATCCTTTTTTGATATAAAGCAATAGTTTCTGAGATATTTTGAAAAAAGGTGTGTTGCTCAGGGGACTGGGACTCAGGAACCGGTCTTTGGTCAAATACTATAAAATCTATTATGTTTTTGCTTAGTGGCTGACAAAAACGCAAATATTCCAGTGATAAATTGTTATGTCTAGCTCAGAATCTTCTCTAGTTCTGACGAGGGCTCCTACGTTTGCCCTGAATACGAAATTGAAGGTGAAACATGCGAAACGACGTCCAATGATGGATATGAAAGTGAGCCTTCGTATGCCATCAAGGAAGAACTACGAGACGACGAGGACGTTTCAGCATACACTGATGAGCCTTTAGGTGACGATTCGTGGGTCGAAGAATATGTGCAAAGACAAGAACAACATACGCAGGAAATAGAAGAATTAAGTCTTCAATTAAGCAGAGAAAACCCAGTGAGCTCTTGGTAAGATAAGTCAAACGGTTTTCTATTTGTAAATATTGTGTGGCCGCCATATTCACATTGAATTTTTCAAAAGACCACAACTAAAGTACACTGTATACCATTTCTAGGTGCAATTGTGGTAACTGCAATATCGAAAATTTAGTAGAGGCAAAGAAATGTCGCTGTTGCACTGAATTACCAAACTGTGTCGCTGCATTGTCTATTGTAAACATAGATTAGGAAACGAATAGATGGCTCACTCCTTTGATGTTTTTGACGCTGCCAGCACCCATGCATGTTCTTGCCAGAGTAATGGCGGCCTAGCAAGTAACTACAGTAAAATGGATTGTGAAATTGACATTGGTGCTGCTAAATCCTATATTCTTATAATTCTGATTTATTTTTCCACCCCCGAAAGCGGAAAAATAAAGGATTTAGTAGCACGCGGATGTCAATTTCACAATACATTTTATTATAGTTCTTGATAGGCCGCCATTACTCTGGCAAGAACATGCATGGGTGCCGGCAGCATCAAAAACATCAAAGGAGTGAGCCATCTATTCATTTCCTAATCTATGATTGTAAACAAAAATGTTTCAGAGTTTTCTGATGACGACGCCACGAACACCCAACAAATGTGCATCACAAATCACCCTGGATTCGACGCAATTTGTCTCAACAAATGGTCTCTGGAACTCACTTCGGATAATTTTAAAATGCGTACTGGACAGAAATATTGACAAGTTGATTCAAAGGATAGGTTAATTAGTTTCCACTTATATATTAAAATATAAAACATTATATATATGCAACCTTTGTACTATAAAAAGTAAATATATAATCCTGTGGCTCTGTGTTTTTAGGTTTCTTCGTGTGGTGGCATACAGATAATTCACACGACTTGTTCATGGCCGTTTAAAAGACAAGCGAATACCATTGCCAGCTTGTGCTTACCATACTATCCGCACATCCAAAGGATATGAAGATATAGAGGAAGAAGACTAACCTCACTGTAAATATACAGCATTTTAATTAATGTCACATAAAATTATCAACGTTTATAGCACATAGTAACATAATTTGATTTATTTTTTACAAAAACTGAAAAACACTTGGATAATAATCTATTTTGTATAAACAATAGGCAATTCCAGCTTTTAGTTTATGCGGGCAGGGGGTGATGGGAAAGTAAGGTATCATATTGCTGATAATGCTAAATAATTTCAATAAAAACTACCGAAACAGTAATTTAATGTAGTAATACAAATCATACAGATATGATAAATCGCAGCATGTAAATATACATTTAATTAACTTAGCATTGGATACAAGGCTACTAGAGCAAGTAAACCAACCTACCAGGATTTGTTGGTGGCACATCAACAATAGGCATGCTTTCCCTTCTTTTCTTCTTCTTGATGGCCTCTGCATGTGCCTGCTGGTCAAGCATTTTGTTCATTGGGGGTGGTGTTAAATCTTTTAGTTCTTTAATTGCCTTCTTTAATTTTTTGTTCAAGATTGCATCAATCATTGTCTCATATATTTCCTCTACATAATCTTCAAGAAAGGCAATAATATAACAATGTAATTATTAAAGGAGTGCCAGATAGATAGTCAATAAGCTATGTGCACGTCTGACTTGTACAAATATAGATCTTTCTACTCAGTAAAAAGTGTTGGGATGTGAAGAGAATATATATGTGGTGTACATACCAAAATTTTGCTGCACCTTTACATTTCTAACAACAGCCTCTCTGTTCTTCAATTTTGGGTACACAACATGAAGTTGCTCAACCCCATTCTTCATTCTGTTGCTCCGATTTAAATTTTTGTTAAAATGAATAACAGCAAGTACATGCCTAAATATTTCAAAGCAAATTGCCTTGTTAAATACATAAAACATGCAAAGTCACTGCCATAATGTTTAATGTGTCTATTCCTGCAAAACATTCCTCGATAGCTGTACCCAATAATTTTTGGTGAAAATTGGTTGAGCACTGTATGGAATCCCTCTAGAGCACTTGTCTGACCAAAAGGAGATGCCTTCTTTATACCATTGATCAACTTGGTATTTGCAAGGGCAGCCAGCATTTTCTCATATGCAATGGAGTCTACCATGGAGATTACAAAAACAATTTTATTTTACAATTGAAACTATAATTGCACCTGCATGTTAGGAACATATGCTATTATTCATCTATATAGATCCCAGAGGGCCTGTATAGTACAGTTACCATACTGTATCACAGATATACAGGACATTGTAGCTACTCACCTTCGATCATCTAGCCACTTGCGTGGTTGAATCTCATCTCCATCAAGGTGTTTGTGCTTGTTAACAACATGGCTGAAGAATGATGAAAACTTAGCCCAAGTAACCTTACCATTTCCATCTTGTGTTGTCATGGCACTCCAAAATAAGTGGTTTGCACATGGTTTAATCCACTCATTCACAATCTCATTTCCACTCACTTTTCCAATCTTAGTCAAAACTTTGGTGATTTCTAAAACACAAGAATATACAAAACAAAATACAGGTTGTAATTCAGTGACATATTTTGAAAATGTAAATTTATAGCATTAGTATCAATCATATGTCATAAATCAAAAGATTAATATGTGGCCTCTAATACAACTGTGTTATAGTTAAAATTCACATTGAGTGACAAGTAAAGAAATTATAAAAGTTATTGCATGAACACAGTATTAGTTGCATTTTTTGCAGGGAGAAATTGAACCTTCTTGTTTTGGTGTAAATCCAGGAGATTGCCATAAAATATCATATGTGCAGATAACTGGTTTCAAGAGTCTTGCAGATTTCACAGATGAAAAGCGGAAGGTTCTTCTGTGGAGTGGAGGAAAGAAGGAATGCATCACTGATGAGAGTATATTATTTTAATGAAATCTAGATAGAACTGTAGGCTGTCTCAAATGGTCATTTGCAGCAGCTGTTGGTGTAGAAGTAGTTTGGTAGCAGAAAACGAGGAGTGCTCGAGAGGGTCTGTATCTGAAGAAATGAAGATAAAGGCGAGTGACCTAGACAAGCTGACGGATCAAATGCGAGACAAACTGTTATTAGGAACTACCACACCTGAAGAGAAAATGAAAATCCTTACTTTCACGCCTTTCGAGTCTTGGTCAATACTAAAAGCAGCCTTGTATTTTGGTGTGTCTGGATATCTAATTAGACAATCTTGTGAATTGAAAAAACACTCGTGGTGTACTTGGTACGCCTGGCGAAAACCGAGGTAAACCTCTTCCAGCAAGCACAACAGAGAAAATCCAGCTATTCTTTGAAGATGACACACACTCGTGTTTAATGCCAGGTAAAAAGGACTTTGTGAGCATTAAACGGAATGTGCACAAGCAAAAGCAATTGCTTTTATGCAACCTGAAAGGGCTGTATGTACTCTTTAAAGAACAAAACCCAGAAGTAAAGATTGGGTTTTTTAAGTTTTGTATTGCATCCAAAATTACAGTTGGCTCAATTGGCAGGTATTCTGTTTGCGTATGCACAATTCACCAAAACGCCAAACTTTTAGTTAATGCCTCAAAGACAGGTCACAGATTGTGACAGTCACAGATTGTGACAGTCACAGATTATGACAGTAAAACTTGTATGATTCACAGGTGCGACAAATGTCCAGGGCAGATTCTTTATGGGAATACCTTGAAACACCGCTGGAAGAACATGAAGATCGCATTTCAACAATGGCAAACTGCAAGATGGTTGCAAACTCCAAGACGCTCCAAGATGGTTGCACAAACTTTGAGCGTTGACAAATTTATCGACTTGCTGGTTGGGGCTATTGATAACGTAACATCACATTCTTGTTTTTCTAAATGTCGGACCAAATACCTCAAGCGAAAAAAGAACATCCCAGATATGGATGGGGTGACCACAGAAGCCATACCTCTTAATGAGTATGTCGCATGCAGATACGATGAGAAGTGGTGGATTGGTATGGTGTGCCAAACCGGACAATATTACTTATAGTGGAATTATTGATACTAGTTCTTGTTAAATAATGTTTGTTACATGTTTATAAAACTTATTTTGTTTGATATTAAATACTTGTATGATATATATACAACTTTTGTTTTGAAATATACAACTTGTTCCAGTTTATATACAACTTGTTCGACTGATATACAACTTGTTCGAAATATACAACTTGTTCGAAATATACAACTTGTTCGAAATATACAACTTGTCTTGAAATATACAACTTGTTTGAAATATACAAGTTGTTCGAAATATACAACTTGTTCGAAATATATAACTTGTTCGAAATATACAACTTGTTCGAAATATACAACTTGTTCGAAAAATATAACTTGTTCGAAATATACAATTAACTTGTTCGAAATATACAACTTGTTCGAAATATATAACTTGTTTGACTGATATACAACTTGTTCGACTGATATACAACTTGTTCGACTGATATACAACTTGTTCGAAATATATTGAAGTTACTTTAAAGTCCACTATGCTGAAATTATGTCCTAAGATACCATTTATTGATTTACTTATTTATTTGTTTGTTAATGTGTTTGTTTGACAGGCATTTAGATGGAAATCATAAATTAATAACATGGCGCCAGAATTGTTATTCATGGACGGATCGATGGGTTTTCCAGGGCTGTCGTTTTCCTGAAAGCATCTACCAACAACAAGTCATGTACGGTATTAAACTTGTTCCAAGCAGCTACTCGTGTATTTCATTACCCACGAAGAATCCGAACAGATCATGGAACAGAGAATATTGCTGTTGCAAGAGAAATGCTACACAGATATGGTCCATCTGCAAACCCGGTGATTACAGGCCAGTCTGTGCATAATCAAAGAATAGAACGCTTATGGTGTGACGTGTTTTCATTTGTATTATCATACTACAGAAATCTCTTCTTTTACCTCGAATCCATACATTTACTTGATCCAAATGATGAGATTAATATGTATGCATTGCACTTTACCTACCTACCTCGCATTAATATGGCATTGGATCATTTTGTGAGCCAATGGAACAACCACCCATTGTCGAGTGAAGGAAATCGTACCCCGTTGCAAAAGTGGACCGAAGGATTTTATCAGGTTACAAACTCTGATTACACAACGGTACAGGAACTGATAGATCCAGACAATGCCAACTTCTTCCTTTATGGCATTGATGATGATGGGCCATTGCCTGAACTCCAAACACGGAATGATGTCCAGGTACCAAGGTCAACTGTTGAGCTTTCAGATAATGACTACAATGTTTTAGTTAATGTGGTTAATCCTTTAGCAGATGATGGAAACCATGGAATATGTTTATATGAAGAAATTAACAGGAATGTAAGGAACATTTTATTAAGGCAATAATATTAAACATTAACACAGATAATTACATGTAATCAAAAGACATTAATATGCTGTCAATGGCATCTGTTACAATACCCAGGGCTTACAGTATATAGGGAAATGTAGGGGTAAAATTCCCCCATAATTCATTTACAGCAAATCTCTTGTTGAAACACAGGGCATAAGTTGGTGTGGAATCTCAAAAGCCCAATTCACAGTCTTGTCTTCAAATTTGGAAAAGAGAAAAGTAATCAACCATTTTTATCCTGCAGTCACTTAATACTAATATTGCTTGTCAAACCTTTATTATAATCAAATTAAAGCTGCAAAACAGTGCATCTGCCTTGGCGTTGAACACAAGTAAGAACGTGTGCAATATTAACAAACTTACTAGATGTTAATAAGTGTATTCTCAATGTTCATTACATTGTCTTCTGTGTTCATATTTTAAAAATACTTATTAGACGTACTTTCGGATAGTTGGACAATTATGATTGTTGGCATAAGTTCTAAATTCATCAATGCAGGATGAAGATAGTTGATTATTTGATTCCATCACATTTCAAACACAAAGCAAGACTATGTATGAGCTTTGGGGATCGATTCAGGCTAACTTCAATATGGAAATGTATTGGGTGAGGCATTTATGCATACAGTCTGTATAATAATTGTGGCATTAAGCATTTGTTTATGCAGACACAAATCAGAAGAAAAGGAGTAGAGTAACTGCCAAAGGCTTTGACAAGAGTTGTAACACTATGATTGATTAGGCCCATAACAACTTTGTTCAAATATCTGGGCAGTTGCTACATTTCTTTGTGTTTTTCTAATTATTTCATCACTGCATGCCTTAACTCAGCACACTAATGTCTTGCACAGGTACTTTATTGTTGCATAGTCTAATTTCTCTTGGAACAGTATGTAATGCATTATAGTATCAACTATGATATAAACTGAAATAATGACAACTTAAACCAGCTGCTTTTGAATATAATTAGGCAGCAACATTAAAATAATTAACTAACTTAACTGTATTAGAAAATATGTTCGACATGTCTATACATTTCCAAATCCATATGAACAACTCTTGCATTGCAGCAGACCTATCAGCATGGATTGGTAAAGTCAAGGTAAGTGAACATGTCGAAGCTTTTGGTCTGCATTTGCAAGAAGGGAGACATCCATGCTGAAACCCCACTGATATATTTTTTGGAAAGCCTAATGGAGGTATTTGATTCGTACCAGTTACAAGGCCTCAGGGATTTCTGCAAGGTAGAATAAATATGCTAGTTATTGTCTGAAACTATGTCAATCTTGTTGATTAATCCATTGAGCCCCAGCGCACCCTTACTTTTTTACTTGTCTAACGCCGGACGATTTTACTCATCAATGGGAAGCTCTGCAGCTTGATGGGTTAACCAGAAACATCTGACAATATGTCTCTAGTTAATCCATTGAGCCACAATGCGCCCCACTGTGCGCTCTAATTATTTTTTTTACATGTCTCATGTCGTGGACGATTTTATTTGTCAATGGGAATCTCTGCAGCTTAATGGATTAATAGCAATATAACAAATGTGTCGAGTTCTATGACGCATCAAGTTTACATGTGTATGTAAATAAATTTACCTGAGAAAAAATAGTTAATAGTACTGTTTTATATATTACTAAGAGCAAAAGCCACAACACTAATATTGTTACATCAAGAAGTTTTCAAGACCAAACACCTGGGGAGGGGAGGGGAGGGTGGGGGACAGGGACAGCAACAGTTTTAGGAAATATGGTCTGGGGGACAAATATCCTGGAACACTAGCACTCACCCAAGTGTGCTATGTTTTGCACCATGTCTGAAAAATATTTGAACACATCTTTTTCTTTAAGTAACTGGGATTGGCTGTATTTAACTTAGCTCTTTATCAAGCTCTTTAATCATTGGGATTTTGGGTTCAATACATGATTTGATATAAATCGACCTGTATAAAGAAAAATACCAAATTTGCATGCATTGTTATTTTTGTCAGGTATTACAATCTGTTGTTAACTTGTTACAAAAGTATCATGACAAATTTCTTTCATATGGTGTTATTATGATACCCTCCTATGCAGGAAACAGCAGGATTTCACAATACTTGGCAGACATGCAATTGTACTATGGACTGTAATAGGGAAAGTAATTCTAGTTCTTACTTGTGCGAATTATCATTGAACCCCGTTATAAATTTGGCATAATTTTGCTGTTTAATTGCCACTGAGTTGCCTGCAGAGGAGACAATTATTATGATCAGATAACAATTATAGATATCTGGCAAATGAGGTTGTTTTAAATTTAATACAGCCAGGGTTTTCCAAACATTTCAGATACATTCATTTGTCTAGTAAATTTCTTGCGCAAACAATCACACGTCTATACACTACATGCAGCTTACAATATATCACATCTTAATTACAATATGTCCTTTGATTCTTTCCCTCCTCAGATGGTTTTGTCATGTGTAAATAGTTAATTGCTCAGTATTTGTAATGTTTTTCATTTATTCTGAACTTAAAATATTCCTTTTAATTTGTTTGGTTGACTATGCCATTACATTAATTCAAACTGTGTTTCAAGCTGGGATTCCTACCACGTTTGTTTGTATCACATAAATTACATACTTTATCAACTTATGTTTAGATGATAACTTGTCTCTAGATGGAATTCCTCTGTAACCAATACTACCAAGAACTGACAAAACTTCATCTTCCATGAGCACAGACTGGTTAATTTTCAAGAGAAGAAATGACACTCCTATGTCACCCTGGCCTGGAGTGGAATAATACTGATAACTATGGTAATAGCTTCTTAATTAGTGGTATTGCTATGTTGATAAAACAATGTCTCCCATTCTCAAATTACCACATCTCAAATGCAATAACCACATCTCTCAACTTACCAGTAAGAAATTCTCTTTTAGGGCTCCCCCATCCACTGCTGGCTCACCAATGAACACAATTCTCAATACACCATCTGGTTTGAACCACTTAGAAGACTTTCGTGCATCAAGGAGGTCATCCCAAAGCTTTTTGCATCGTATATGTAAACGGTTTTCAGTGTTACTCATATTTTCTTTCAAATCTGTAAGCACTGCTGATAGTTTCGCTTTGACATTGCTTGCATCTGCATCCATGGATGGTGGATTACCATCATCCTCAACTATTTCATCTGCATTGCCAAAGTTTTCAAATATTTGATTCATGTCATCATCTCCCAGTAGGTCTACATATCGATGCCTTGTTGCTGGTGTGCCACTCACTTCATCAGCACATAAATCTGCATGTTGGGCTATAGTGTCAGGTGGAAAAAGTTGCTGCATGTTGGGCAACATATGAGAGGAGTGGCTGGTAGGGGTGACTCTGAAATGCTACTGGTACTGGCAGGGCTGTCATCAACAACAAGGGGTTGTGACTCGCAGACTATTGTGGCATTATCGTTGGCAGTGTCACATTCATTGTCAGTGTCAAATGCACATGGCAACTCACCGTCTTCTGACTCATCAGAAGTCGAGACCTTAATCTGGTTTTCTTCAGTTAATTCCTTGAACCATCTCCTCCAATTTCCTTCAACATCAGCCTGTGCTCGTATGTAAATTGCTCCTTGTCTAGCTAAATACTCAAGCAATTTTCCATTAAACGGACCAGCTGAACTGACTGGTATTATTTTGTTTCCAATTGCGCGGACAAAGTCAAACTTTGGTTCTGGTAGACCATCCAGTCGACTTTGGAATATCGTGGAAAACTTTTCTCTGATAGTTTGTTTGCTCATGTCATCCAAAATTTCCTCAGCTGATTTGGCGAAGCCTTCTGTGTATAATTTCTCTCTTACTTTGCCAAGAGGTACGATATTGTTCGACGGACTCGGAAGCAAAATAACATCCTTAAATGTAGACTTTGATGACCGACTATTTTCGCATTTCTGCCTTTTATTATGGCGAATCAGATTTATTCTCTTGTTAGGACGATAGTTAGCCCTTGGGTTAAATCTTGTCAAATCATTCAGAGATGAACGACCAGCTTGTTGGCCTTGTTGAGTCGATGTCCCACTTGAGTAACTCGACATGTGTCCTGGATTCGGAACTGCCAGTTGGTTGATACTTGGATAAAGTCGATGTAAAGCTTGACTTGTAGTCTCTGAATTTGTTGCTGCTTGTTGTTGTCTTTGAGAAGCACTTGGATTTGTGTTGTTTCCATCCGCATTGTCTCTCAGGTTATTAACAGCTGTTATTAAATTGTTCAGAAGTTGATCAGCCATGATGATATATAAATACTAATGGCGCAAATCCACCTGGGGGCTCAGTGCAGTGTTTCCACTTAGAAGGAAATTTCCTTCCAGAAGGAAATTGGGGCCTTTGGAAGGAAATTTGGAAGGAAATAGCATTTGGAAGGAAATTGGGAGGAAATATTGTTGTAAGGAGGGAAATGAGAAGGAAATTCTACTTTATCTCATAATTTCAAAGAATAAGGCAATTTTCACACAATTTTGTGCAAAAAATGCTGTAAATGCAGTCCTGGAGTATCTAGGAGAGGACCCCAGAATCCCTGAAATATCAACCCAACCTCGTACCCAGGGTATTATTTCTCCGCTTAGCGTGGGCAGGAAAGACCATAGGGCTTTCTTGTGCATAGTGTCCAGGGGAGAGATGCAAGAAACAGTTGCTTTTTGTCCGCCCGGGTCGAAGATGAGTTGATTTTAACCTGAAAAATACATAGTTATCTGCTATAAATTAATATGTGTTTCAATACTAGAGTTTTGATGTTAATTACCAGGTAAATCTGTCAATTTTGATAAAAATTTTGGAAGGAAATTTTTGGAAGGAAATTTTGTGGAACAATTCGGAAAAATAGAAATTTCGGGTTATGGAGAAGGAAATTATTTTTTGGGGAGTGGAAAAACTGGCTCAGTGAGTGATCTTTACTGCTCTAACATGACGTACTCATGGACAAACTAGACGACCAGAGCTAGGACAACATTACACCTACTTTACCCAATTATCCCTCACTTATCCACATTGGCTTTCGAGATACTTGTAAAAGTCGTGTTATTTTGAAGTTGTATATTTCGAACAAGTTGTATATTTCGAACAAGTTGTATATTTCAAGACAAGTTGTATATTCCAAGACAAGTTGTATATTTCGAACAAGTTGTATATTTCGAACAAGTTGTATATTTCGAACAAGTTGTATATTTCGAACAAGTTGTACATTTCGAACAAGTTGTATATTTCAAGACAAGTTGTATATTTCGAACAAGTTGTATATTTCGAACAAGTTGTATATAAACTGGAACAAGTTGTATATTTCAAAACAAAAGTTGTATATATCATACAAGTATTTAATATCAAACAAAATAAGTATTATAAACACGTAACAAACATTATTTAACAAGAACTAGTATTAATGATTCCACAAAGTAATATTGTCCGGTTTGGCACGCCATAGATTGGCATTGTGGAGGAAGTTAACGAAGTGGAGCAAAACATGAAAATTAACTTCCTACACCCGCCTGTACAAGCAAGAAGTTTTCGTTGGCCAAATAGACCTGATGTTTGCTAGGTACCTATAACAGATGTCATTTGTCAAGTCCAGGCTCTTGTAACTGCAACGGGTTGAACATATACTATATTGATGCACAAGACTGCAGGAATATAAATGCAAAATTTCTAATGAAATAAAGCCTTTGAGGGTCCACAGCTCAAAGGTTTTGGCAAAGGTAGAATGGGCACGTGCATGCTATATTCATTAACCAGAAAACAATTTGGGACCCAATAAAAGTTGCAAATATTTGTTCTACAATAAATAATACACTGACTTGATGGAGTGTATGGGTTCACAGATATAGCACTGTATATTTTAATTTAAATATAATATTATAAGTATACTTAAGCCGTTTCTATATTACAGGAACCACTGAGTATTACACAAGAACAGCAACTCCAAATAAAATTTTGAGTTATAAGTATATACAAAGAGCTTTTCAGCTCTGAATATGTTTCATTCAGACACGTCAGTATATATAAATTTGTCTTTGTATTTTAAAAATAATATAAATACGTATCTGAAATAGATATATCTCGTTTTTTATACAACTTCATACATATTAAAGCATGTAAAGTGGAGAATACTTACCACATTTTCCATTGTACGAAGTTTACGGCGTAAAGAACAGAGAACTGTTGTTACAGAGAACTTCGGATTCATGGTAAATAATTTAAATAATCAGTTTTAAAATAACAAGACATGAACACAAAACGACAGTCGACAAACTGGAGCAAGGTTTCGCATATGGCAAATAGCCTCCCCCCTGTCACCTCGTGATTGACTCCCCCAAACGTTCGCTCTCTTACCGAGGATGTGACAGCCAAAGTTCGCGTTATTTGATTGATTTCTGTCAGCATTTGTCTCAATTAGTCCAATTAATGGTCAAAGTAACCCGCCTTCTATTATTTCCTGCTGTTAATCCTCATGTCAACCCCAACTATGGTTGTTAACCTCTTGTCAACGCCAATCTTGACCGGTTCTTGTTAAAATCTTTCAGGAAACACATGTAAGTGCTTTTCATTATACTATTACATAAAGATATAATGTAATAAATTAATAACACAGGATTTTCTAATGATTTTCAATATACTATTTATATAAAGATATAACCTAATAAATTAATAACACAGGGTAAGATTGGGCCGCCTGTGATCAGCCATAAATCAATAAACATTTGAGATATTAACTTCAAACTTTGTATACATTCATTTCTTACCTATGTCTATGGATGATAAAAAAATAGCCAAATCCCAAGTGGTGGCTTACAACCTCTGATGATTTGACATGGAATGACCCTATTACCATAGAATGGTGTTACCAAATGACAAATATCACACGACTGACACTTACGAGCAAGTTAGGAACATGGCAACCCAACATTTTTACTGTTCATACTTAATCTGTGGCACGCCAATTGGCTGAATAAAATAGTGGAATAGCTGAATAAAATAGTTGAATAACTGAATAAAATAGTTGAATAATTAGTGGTTGAATAATGTATATAACAGTTGAATTATACACTGATCCATACTGGAAAGTTCGTAGGTTGCGCCGAATATATTCGGCGTGGCGTTTGGCTGTGTTGCACCAATTTCGGTGCAGAACTTTCCAAATTTTTGGCGTTACTTTACTGGCGTGGCGTTGCGTGGCCGTATGGCGTGGCATAGAGTCTGTTCAGTCATGGTTTTATTGGTTTATATTGGCGCAAATATGGCAAAGTTTTGAAATTAAAAACTTTTAGCTCAGTATATATTATCCATTCACTGTTTTGGCAGATGGACAGTCGGTGAGTGCTTAATATTTGCTCCTGGCTTTCTGTCCAGCGGTTTTCATACTTCATGTAAATATCATGATTTGGAATTGAGTTCTCGAGGCTTGTAGCAAGAATGGCCGCTATCGTTTCGAACGAAAAGGTGTGTATTTTGATTTTTAATCTTAATCATCGATGATCCAGTGTTTTTTAAATTGCAATCTAATCGTAGTGACACTGTTCCTACAATTCTTTTCCTTGCTTGTGAATGGTTATTTTATATCCTGCGCAAATATCTCATTCAAAAAAGACAAAATGTTAAAGTGCCTATGACACAAAATTTCACCCCAAAGGTTTATGGTTGCATTGTAAAGATGACTTAAAATGACTTAATAATTTCTTTTATAGAATTTTGATAACTTGCTCCCTTTTCAAGATATTCAATTTTGTTTCATATGCAAATATTACCGGTGTGACATCACATCACATAATGAGTTTTCAGAAAAGTATGGTTTTCCTGACGAATACGTATTTAAAAACTTAAAAATTGCTCTTGTATATATATATTAATTTCATAACTGGTAATTAACCCTCTGTATTTGTTTGTAAAAATATTTTATTAAGGCAAAATATTGCGTTTTTCAAAATGTCATTATGCGATGTGATGTCACACCGGTGATATTTGCATATTAAACAAAGTTGAATATCTTACAGAGGAAGCAAGTTACCAAAATTCTATAAAAGAAATTATAAAGTCATTTTAAGTGATCTTTAGAATGCAATCATAAATATTTGGGGTGAAATTTCGTGTCATAGGCACTTTAATGTATGAATAAAACATGTTATTATGTGGAATGATAAATATTAAATAGGCAATAATTTGCATATTACATTATTACTGCTTTCACAGGATGATTCGGATTACTCCACAAGTGATACGGACATTCCCAGAGAGAAAGAAATAGTTGAAGTCGAAGAAGGTAAATTTTAATTTCTGTTTGACTTTGTTCAATTTGATTATTTTTATTTTGAAATGAGATAATGGATAATCATGATTCATGATTTTTTATTGAGTTTTATAAATATATATTTTAAAGGTAATGTGACTAATGTCAAGTGAACTCGTAGTAGTGTAGTACTAGTACATGTATGCTGTATTGCTGTATACACAGCAGTTTGTTAAAACTTGGTTTCTTTGTTTACCTTTTCATCAAATTATATATTCTTACAAAACATGCTGTATTAGTGTACCGTATTTAGTCAATATCTGAAAGAGTATGTCAAATAATGTGAAATTTGAGCAGTAATTACGTCACGAGGGGACAAATTGATGGTTACCAGTTGGTTATATTTATTTGTCGCATATTATATGGTGTAATTTGTATGTATGCATGGTCAATTGGTCATTATGACAACATGGTGGTTTCATAAAACTAAAATTATGTAGTCTCCTCAATTGCATATAATCCACAATTCTACATACAGTACACTGTTTACACTTTACATGCTGTTCCTTGGTTATTTTTAGAAAAATGTTGTGTTTGTGGCAGACCACATTCTAATGCCCACAAATGTCTGAAATGTGAAAAGGGTGTCCATGCAATTTGTGGAAAGGTTCCCATTGGTGGGGAGGAAGGATATGGAAGTCCTATCATATGCAATATTTGCGACAAAGAAGACGATACAGGTAAGTAAGTTATTGACACTAATCACTCTAAAAACATTGTTGCACAACCTTTAATTTTTATGCATCTATGGTATATGTTATAGTTAAAAATTAATAAATTATATGATCATTTTAGTGACCCATGAATTAGACTCACCAGTAGTAAGCAGTACGAAAACTACTCTTGGTGTGAAACGCAAACTTACAACAGGTATTTCAAAATACATTTGTGTTCTAGTTATTATTTATGAATGCATAAACCTAAATAAATATAAAGGTTGCACTATATATGGTAGTTGGTGTTTCTAATCATGGGCATATTAAATTTCATGTGTAGGAGAAGATCTCTGGTGGTTAAAGAAAAAAAAAATGACCCCTCAACCTGCTAAAGTTGAAAAGGATGAAAAGAAGCAATGGGCAATATGTGTCACATGCTTTAAGTAAGTAATACTACTCTATTCTGACAAGATTTGTATCTACTGAAATAACTTGGTGTTTTGACATCATAACCAAACATGCATGCATGTTTTGAGTTGCTATGTGATAAATGTAACTGCAATATCGCAAAGGTATAGAGTGGATATCATGAAAGAGGTCAAACACCTAATTGGTATCTAATGCAACTCCACGGAGTGAGAAACTAAAACAGATGCCAAATGTTCAAATTGTTCATGCTTTTTTCAGGGCTGGAAAACATTCAAAAACATTTAAACTTTGTCGCCAAAACCAGACCACAACCAAAAGGCACATTCAACGGCATCATGCTCAATCAAAATCTTCTGATGTCATTATTAAATCATTCTACGATAGTGATGAGAATGTGAAGAAGGCACGAAAGTGTCTGGAAGAATTGCAAGAAACTACAAAACAAAATTCCACTGTAGCATCAACACCTCGCCTCCACTTAAATTTATCGAAAGTAAAAAAGGAAACACAACATCATTGGCTCCATCTGCAGTTGCACAAAAGGGACTTGGAGGGTACAGTAATTGTCAAAGCCATTGTTTAATTTTATATCACAATATTTCTACTTGCATAGCATTCAGCCGATCTGACTGGATCATCAGTAGAAATAAGTGAAATTTTCAATGTAGTAAATAATGTACAGTATGTTGCATACATGGTCTTTTATACTGTATTACCATTTGTTGTATATGTGTGTTCTAAAATTATTTGTGTTCCAGGATTATTGTGTAATAGCTCTGAGATTGAAGAAGAGATTGATACTGCTAATTTTGGAGAACTATGAAAATGTAACACTCTGTATATACCCTGTGACACTCTGTATATACCCTGTGACACTCTGTATATACCATGAAGCAGATTGTATGCTCTTATTGTTCTATTTCCTTTAACACTTCAACATTTACATTTTTAATAGTTATTTAGGATCACTTCCTACGGGTTTGGTGTTTAGTTCAGAGAAATCACAGTTGCTTTTGGAAGGCGGAAATAGAGAATTTTACAAGCTCAAAAACACGGTCAAGAATCATGTAACATTGGCTGGGGGCCAACTTCACTTTGAGGCATTGCAGGTTAAATTATGTTCTGTACTTAGAAAAAATACAGCAAATGGCAATTGAAATCATACTATTGAAGTTAAATAATAGTCATATGCTAGCTGATTACTTACTCAGTATGTAAAACAAAGATTAATTATCACTTACTGTAGTATGACCATGAATGTAAGAGAAAGAAGAAACGTGGGGTTGCTGTCATGGAAAACTTGGTCGGAATTGCCTTGACCGTTGTTAAGACCAAATCAGCTGCACTTCACTTTGAGACTATGGTTGCATCCCATGCTTTTACTGGTTCTGATGTTGGAGAGTTTGGGCACAGTCGAAAACAGTTTCAGGTAATACATGTATATAAATAGTAAACAATAAACATCAGTTAATGTAACTATTAGTATATACTAGAAACATACTAGTAGTATACAGTAGTCATCCAATTGCTGTAATCTGTATGAGCATGCATGCGGGGGGAAAAAACAAGTTGGACGCCACAGAGTGAAATTGTTTTTCCTTAGTTTTCACTGGGAATAAAATTTTTTCCATATTTTGTTTTATGCTTTGTGGGATTTTCCTGTATATTCATATAAAGTAAATGCATACCAGTACATAAGTTAGTTTCTACTAGATAAATTAGAATATTTGCTCTTGAATTCCATCCAGAGATACAATATACAATTAGGACTTTGCCATCATTCTATCTTAAAGTTTAAAACCATGATCAAACTAATTTTTGTCATATTTCACTTATTCAGGATATATTGAAAGCAATGGAAGTGTGGTGTGATCAAGAAACAGCTACGTTTTTATCACAACCATTACCATCTACCCGACTACCACCTCATTATTATGTCACTTGTGACAAAGCAACCCCGAGTAGAATAACCAACCAAGCTGTCATGCTCTGTCCTATGGTCGGTGGTCAAAGACAAGCGAAAGCCAAAGAAGTTTATCACGCCGAGGATGAGCTTGAAGTTGGAGATGTTGCTGGTGGAATTGCACAGGAACTGGCTAAAGGCATATACGAGGACGTTCGAGAGAGCTACTCATCCATTGAAGAATCCGTCGTCAGAGCTGCCTGGATGGGGACAGCTTGTGATGGACCTTACCAAGCTAGACTGTTTGCTTCAACACTGCAGCAATTGTTGGATCAAACACAGTATGATGATGTGTTCTTTTCTGTGTTATGGGATGCTCCCCATTTTGTTGACCTAGCATTCTCGGATGTCTTTGAAGGGAAGATTGGAAGTTCAAAGGATCTTATTCAACGCCTGGTCAAACGATCCAGCGTAGTTCATCACATCTTTCAGCGTGGGAAAATGCTAAAACAGGCGATGGAAATGGAAACTTCTGATGATGAGCTTGTATTGAGATTCACCAGCCCGAGCATGTAGTACCAGATTTACCACATCACAGTATGTAGAGTTCAAGAAACTGCTGGCTAGCCTACCACTCTTTGTTAAGACATTTCGAGAATTTCAGTCGTGTGAAATTAAAGAGTATATGATTGCAGGTGAGGATTTCGTCATGGATCTTTGTGGGGTTGTCGACATTCTACATCCTTTGATCGAGATGTTTGTGGAATTACAAAGTCTGAGTGCCCCTTCTTGGAAAGTGGTTACCTGGTCGGCGAAGATTAAAGAGCACATGGAGCAGATGCAGGCCAATTTCTCCCTTACTGCCCCTACTTCCATGTTCCCCATCCTAGAAGCCAACATTGACGACATTCAGTCAGGTGAGTACAAAGGAATCCGTCTAGTGCCTGGGTGGATGGTCGTTTCAACTGAGAAAGACGTAGATGAAACTGGTAAGACAACTGTCACTGAAAATTGGAACCAACGAGAGGCGTCGAGATTGACTTGAAAACATTCCTGAAGGACATCCTGACTTTGCTTGAGAGAAGAATGAACAAATGTACGAAAGAGATGCAGAACATTTTGACCTGCATGGATCTGGACACGTTGTTTTCGCTGTTTTGTGGAGAGCGGCTCGGTAACAGAAAGCCGAAATTGGACCATGGCAAAGGATCTCTTCAATCACATGCTGTAGAGGATTTTGAAAGATTTTTCAGGTATAAAACCTTCCTATTTTCAACATACTGATATTTATTATACACTTACTATTGTGCATTTAAAACATGCAGTACAAATCAAATTTTTGAGAATAATAGTCTTCAACATAACTCCGCTGCTTAACTTCAAAACTCTGATGATAATTTTTCTAAAATACGTCTTCAAATTCCTTATCTTGTCAACTCATCATTTATTTTTCAGATACATATGCTCTCTTCGACATGTCCGCCAGCTTACTGGTCTTAGATCCAATGACGACGAGGAAGTTTGTTTCAAACCCGGTCTTGGAGCAATAACATTCCACAAATTGAAGCAAGCGTTAAAGAAAGCGCTGTGGAGTACTTCAGGGCAATACTTGATGTCGTGGTTTTTGTTACTGAAATCGTATGGTTGCCTAAAGAAACTTACGCTGGCTGAAACAGGTATCGGTAATGTGTTTGCTAACACCTACGAGTTGACGATGGAACGTAACCAGCAGCCGATCAAGGCAAAATTAAACGAGGAAGCAGTATACAAGAGCATTTACACAGACGAGACTGTATAACGCTATTGGAGTCGAAGGTTGTGTGGCGATAGACATTGCATTGGCTAAAGGAGGAACAGAGGCTGTTGTCGAGTCCTATTACAGCGTCATGACCTCTCAACAGAAATCTGGCAATCAGTTGAATGAAACATTGGCATTAAGGTATAATGGTCACAATTGAGAGTTCAGTAGACTACAGTATGTATTTTATGTTGTTGTCGTGCTGTTGTTTAAGTTGCAAACTGATGATGATTCATGATGTTCAGAAATATAAAACAAATTTAAATTAAGTATCCCTTTCTCTATATTTCGCTTCCAGGACCAAGATTGACTGGTGCATGCCTCCAATTTTGCAAGCTAATCGTGCCATCAAAGACGTTGCTGAAATGTATTTGAATGGAAACAAGAAAGCATCGCTACCAAAGCACTCTTTGCCTATTTTAGGAGACCGTGCGAAATTTTCACGTGAAGGAAAAGTAATGAAGAGGCACCGGACCGAGGACGTTAGATTGCCATATTTATTGTAACTGGGTTAAGATATCCGTTGGTCATTTCTGATAATATCATATCATTATTATGTAGAAATAAAGAACACAAATAATTAGAACATTAACAAGTGTAGAATTGTAGATGCTCTATTTTCAAAATGGGATCAAGCTGTGCGGTTTGTTTCCCTTTGAGCACACCACAATAAAACACTCGTTTGAAAACCTGTTAGGTTAAGGAATTTTAACTAAGATAACCCTGCCTCGTCCCCAGAAATTCATTTCTGGGGACAACCCCCCCCCCCCCGCGCAAGCACAACGACAACCGGCATGTAGCCAACTGGTGCACAATTATTCGCATAAAATATACTGGCGCAAATATTCGGCGTGACAAATACGAACTTTCCAGTATGGACACTGATTTGCTGAATTTTAATTGAATTGAATATTGCAACAATTGGCTTGCCATATATGGGTTGCCTGATAGATATATAATTCCTGAATAAAGTAGACAAATAAAATAGATGAATAGCGGAATAAAATAGTTGAATAGCAGAATAAAATAGTTGAATGTGGAATAAAATAGTTGAATGGCTGAATAAAATAGTTGAATAGCTGAATAATTAATGGTGGTTGAATAATGTATATAACAGTTGAATTATACACTGACTAGCTGAATTTTAATTGAATTGAATGTTGCAACAATCGGCTTGCCATATATGGGTTGCCTGATAGATATATAATTCCTCAAATCATGATTTTTGAAGTTAATTTGATACACATTTTCAATTGCATGGATTATTGGGTCATATTGATCTGCTATTTAGCCTTAATATTGTAGCCACTTTCAGGAAAGGAAGTGCAAACAATCGCATAGAATAGCAATTCTTCTTCAACTAATGGGCAACCACTTCTAAATAGCAAGGAAGCTGAATGACTGTAGGGGTATGGATAGCTTTTCATGGGCTCTGCTCAGTTTGTATGTTGTAACTTATGACAAGCCATTGCAAGTGAATTTAACAAAGGCCAGTAAACAAAATTGACAAAAATATACATCATAAAGTTGCACATTTCAGGTTGGAATTTGGTACTATTTCAACTGTCAATTCGACATCGAACTTTGAAAGGTTCAAAACCTATCTGTCTCATGTTTGCTCACTCCATAATTTTGTCTATGCAAAGGTTTTCATCATAACTTCATAACAAATTATAATTTAAGTTTTGGAAATCATTGGTTTTTATCAGGAAGCAGTGCACGTTAACACTCTCTAACAACATTTCAACAGTCATTTTTAAACATCAAATTAAACAAGAGTACAGAAATAAAATAACACCCGAAATAAAGTTTTTCATTACTTAAATCTTATGTTTAAGTTTCTTATAATAGCTAAACATAACAAAAACATACAAATTTTACACAAGTAATATTTTATAAAGCAATAGTTTCAGCATACCTTCTGATGGGTCATATATGCATCGCCATATTTGTTTACAATTAGAACATCTTACCCCCCACAAAGCCCACATCACAGATGGTTCCAAGACTTGCATTGCCATTTCCACGCCCTCTCTCCCTTCGCCCTGCTTTTTACCGTGGTAGCAGTTCTGTGTGTTACTACGACATGTGATTAACATATATAGTTATTGGTTATTCTTAATAGATCCATTTATTTATTTATTTTATTCTTTATTTATTCATTTTGTCACACACATAAAAGATATGCCAAGTTTATGGGCCTATATAGTTCAGAGTCATCCGCAAATAATGCAATACTCAAGCCCTGTCCTATGTATTCTGGCATGTCGTTAATGTATACTAGGAACAGGAGGGGTCCTGAGATAGATCCCTGTGGGACTCTAGAGGTCACAGGGAGCAAGTCTGAGAGGGTCCCGTCTAACCACTGAAGAAGTGAGCGTGTTTGCTCAAGCTTGTTTGCTCGATGCCTTATTGCTCAAGCTTGTTCAGAAGCGTGTGATGTTTAACTCGATCAAAGGCCTTGGACAGGTCTAGGTGGATGGCATCAACATCTCTCCCACCAGCTAAATTATCTAGGATTTCTTGGTAGACGTGGAGGAGTTGAGTTCCATAGATTTACCCCTTAAGAAACATGCTGTTGATGGTAGTAACATGGTGATAGATGGGGATAGCAGTGGTTATATACACAGCATTCAAACGTTTTTGAGATGAAAGATAATAGGGAAATGGGGTCTGTAGTTATAGAAGCTATCATTGGATCATCTTTTTTGAACACATGTGTAACAATTGCGAGCTTCCAACAAACATGAACTACACCCTAAGACAAAGAAAGATTATATATATGACAGGGGGATGGTATGATTGTGTTCGCCGTTATTTTGACAAGTTTTCCAGGTATCCCATCAGGTCCGCATGCTTTGCTTGGATCCAAACCGTCAAGAGCTTTAAAGACTTTGTGTTCTGTTAGTTGGATAAGGCTGTGTTGGAAGACAATGGGAAACTTAAAGATGTTGTAGTGGTAGGTCGGACATTCAAAAAAGGGGCGGAAAAAATTTTCCGAACATAAACCAATTAAATTAAGGGTCAAAAAATTTTTCCAACAAATTCCTGTTAAAACATGCATGAAACCTTTATTTTTTTAACAATATCTGTAAAATTTAGGCTTATGAATTCCATTCAATTCCCTCTGGAAGCTACTTAACTCTACATTCTATCATTTAAATTCTTTCATTGCCCTAACAATCCAGATGATTTGCCCTGCCAATCCCCCTACACCCCCCTCAAGTTTCATCCCCTGTTTCTGTCGCATCGATGGATGGAAAAGTCTAAACCAGGCAAGATCTCACAGTCCAATATACGATGTTTTAACCAAGTGTGCCAGTGACAGTGATTAGGTCCAGGTCTGTGATGCGAGATTGAAATTCTGTTGATTTGTTTACTAAGCTTTGCACGTTCATATATATAGATACTTGATTTCCAGACAGAAAGAGTGTGGAGTTTGTTTTCGGGTAGAGGTACTTGCGCTGTGAGATACAGGACCTGAATGTGGATGTATGTCTCCACTACATATAGCAGTTACCATTATTGGGTTGAAAGAAACAGAGCAGTTAAGATAGTAGTTTAGTCTCCTTTTCATAAAACCTTTCAGACGATAGAACACAGTTGAGGGAGATGAGTTCATTCTAGAGTGCCAAAATTTAAAATCCATCAGTACTTTTGTTAAAGAAGGTGAGGTTTCAGTACCATTGATGTTATATTTAGCACTTTGTATGGAGATAAGTAGAAGAAACAGGAGCTGGTGAAGCAGGCAACCAACCACCATGATTTACAAATGTCTCGGATTTCAAAGGTCAAATGAAAAGTTCAAACGAGGACAAGTATTCTGTTCTTTTCTAAAACATGTAATTAGTTGTAGCCAAAATCACGAATTAATTTTCTGAAAAAATAGTTAATCAAATCCCCAGAAAAGGGGAAAGATTAGTGCTGAAATCCCAATATTTGCCCTTTCATGGAACAAATTGAATGGAAAACAGCAAATGTAAGGCATTTTCCCAACCTTATCTTCGCCTTTGTCAATTTGGCAGGGATTTTTCATCTTTTTTTATTCATTTCTAAACGAAACAAAAGTTTAATAGTAGAGATAAAAATTATTTTGTTTTTTGAGCAGAAAGGTGGGTAGAAACTTTAGAAATCGTTCTACAAAGTTTGCATTATTTTTAACCTAATTTCTGTAATTTGGACGGGTTGCAATTGGTGTCACTACCTTAGTATCTCTAGAAGCCAAACGGTTACGTCGTTTGGTGAGATAAGTACTACAAATAATATAATATATTGTTTTAAACCCACTGCAAAAAATTGAACCTTCGACTAAATATAGCAAACTAATACTGCCAAATGTGACAGGGGACATTTTTATAGGACACCCTGTATAGTAAGTAAATGTTTCCAATGCGTATAGATGAATTGTTTGGATGAAATCAGAATGACTATGTTTATTGCACATTATACAAACATACTGAGCTATATAAAGTATAAATTCTACTCTGTAACTAGTTTCGCTATTTTATCTCACATATAGGAACTCCTAGAAACATGTCTAAATTCGACCAGCGGAAACTGTTTTTATACTTTGTTAATATTTCAAATTGACATTGCTAAGTTTCAGTTTACAAACACTTTAAATTTCAAAGTGCATGTGTGATCCTGGCCGCGAAATACATGAGGTTTGCTAAATACTGCCGAGTTCGTCGAAACAATTTTTAAGTCCATAAGATGTTACTAATATAGTATCCTTAAGTGTTTCTATAATAAACATCGCTAAATCTAAATGGCCAATACACAAAATCATTGTTCCTGCTTATTACTAAATGGTGACAAGGTCAAATACGAAACGATTTTTGGTGCTTTAATTTATATATAAATAAATAATGCATACAGTGCAAGCATCACCTTTGAAACTGGAGTCTATATATACTGTATCACCGAGACCGCTTTTTGATTGATTTTTTACATTCACACATTTTAGATTCAAGCTTTATTATCGCTGAATGCTAAAACTGGAGTAATACGGGAAACAAAATTCATGCATGTTAATTGAAAACTTTATACACATAAATTAAAAATCACACAAGGCAAAATATGTCAACATTTCTACTAACATGTGTTGAAATCAGATTTTGTTGCAAGTTGCAGAATTTTGTTGCCCATATTACTCGCAGACTCCTAACTTTGCTAATTGCGCACTGAATATAATTTTATTGCCAAAACTTGCACACAAATTTTTCATGGAAGGGCCATAATGTACACTCAGGCCAGTTCCTGCTTTGGTGTAGAAGACGTCAAATACAATGCAGAACTCTCTTCCAACAGCTCAATAAAAGGCTGGGTTGTAGTAGAGCATCTGAATAATTTCCTCCTCTTGCAGAACAGCTGTAAATGAATGTCTGTCAGACAAACTGACTTGGAATTTGTCAAGTAGATCAAATCCATTATTCTTTGGCATGAACTTGGTAATTTCTTTACCAGATGGAATAGTGATTGCATTCCAAAGAAGCTCCAGAAACGTTCTTAAAACATTTGAGAACGAATGGTTCCAATTCCTTTCCCCAAATAATTTCAAGTAGAAAGGATTTCAATTTCCAAAAGATCAAGTCACAAAATGACTCATCTAGCTCATGTGGAAGTTTGGCCATAAATGAAACGCATCTTTTGAATTCGATTTGATCGACTGACATCACATCTGATCGCTTGACAGGAATCTTGCCTCATTCACTACTAACCAGCCTTCAATGAGATCTATTTCTTTATATTAGTAATTTGCAATGTCTTCGCCATGCTTGTGTAGATGTGGTGTAGACGTGTGTCATCACCTGGGTAGAAAATAGCTTCAACTGAGTTGTGACCAGGGGAAGCCAACCAGCAATTTTCCATCCAGGACACTGCAAAAGCTGGGTACATAGCATAAGCAAACTAGTGGCCACAAAAGATCAATCACTCCAAGGAGGTCGAATATGAAATGTTGACCAGCAATCTTGTACTCGTTCAGTTCCCGATTGTTGTGGTCTCGGAATGTATTGATGTAAGCTTCAATTGATGTCTCCTGCTTCAAAAATTGCTCATAGCTACTGCACATAAAGCGTTGCTTAGTGAAACTGACAGTTGTCTTGAATGGAAGCTTAAAGTTCCTTGGCAGTCTCATATGCAACAGAATGCATCTTTACATGGCTAAATAGGGAATGGATGAGGGCAGTTGTGGACAAAAGACGTGAAATAAACTCATAGCATGCAGATCAGATCGCAATGCCTTTAATATAGGTACTGCTCTGGGATTGCTGAATGATATTACGTCTCTTTCTTGTTTTGCATGTACTTGCTGACAATGGTTTGGTTTAGGATTTTTTGATCCACTGCAAACCATTAACGCATTAAAAGCTAGAAAACAGAAATTAGCAAACGTTAAGTACCCGATAAAATTTAGTAGTATGGTTAGTATACTGTATAAATTATAGTGCAAAATTGTAGCAAGTTGCAGTGTCATTAAAAACTGCAATACTGCCAAAAATTACCACAAGACTGAGCAACTGCCCAATATACTGACCAACTATGGTTTTTATTTTGTTTTATACTGTGTCATACCTGAAACACCAGTCTTGTTGGATGGAGTTTGTTTCACTTTTCTATCAACAGGTCTGAGTGAATCACTGGTTAGAAGCTGAAACAAAAATTCAAGCTGTCAAAAGCCCCCAATCAGGTGCGTTGGTGGCAATCATGCCCACATTGTCATATTAGAATTATTTCTAAATGTACTCGAATTTGAAATTGAGCAAAGAGCTTACCCTCACATCGTGTTCACATTTAAAACAAGTAACAGGTTGACCATATCATTCTGATCCAGGGACTGGATTTCCACAATGGAGGTGAACTTTATTAGCGCATTTACAACACTTATGACCATCACCTACTGGTCCGTTACAATAATAGCAGCTCTGATGTGAATTTAATTATAAATATATAAGCTACTTAACTGAAAAAAAAATTTACTATGTGATACTTATAAACTAAATAGAAGTTCCAGTCGGCAAGTCTATATCACTGCAGCTACCAGCATATATATGCGCATGGTTTAACTAATTATACATCATAAGGCAACAGATCAGACAGTAACCAGGATACTGAGACAACCAAGTCGAAAATTTTGGGCATACCCGTGAGAAAATATTAGATTTCTTGAAGCTCAGATAAACTATTTCCCACATTTTGGACAGTTTTCCAACAAGAAATTAACCTTATAAACAGTGACACAATTACTGCAATTCAGTCTCCCAAATGTAATCCAGTCCCAATAAGGCAACATGGTGTGATGATGCAGTAATGTGATGTGTGGTATAGTATCATTCACCACATTTAAAATTCTAAAGTACTGTATTACATGTCATGGCGTACTTGAAATCGACACATTTGTCTTCTCAGTGTCACTGAAGAGCAAGGTAGGGATAGGGTGGTCTCTTTGGAGTATCTTTGCTTGGAAAAACTAAGCTAGAATTTCATCCTAAAATGCCATTTCATGCCTTGTTCAATGGGCAAATTGTTTCAGTCATGGTTTGGGTTTCTGGTGATGTTTAAATTTCAGTCCCCAAATTCTGGCCTACCTAGTCAACTAACTCGGTTGACTCATAGCTATAGTTACGGGTCTGCAGATGATGGTCAAATTCAGAAATTTTAACAACTTAACATCGTTTTCTCACTTTGACGATTTGAATTACAAATCACGAGGCAACCCCAGCTAGCACAAACGTTATCACAACATTGGTAGAAGGTTGTGGTAATGTTTAGGTCGGACCTAACTTTACCACAACGTTTAGGCGACATTGTTTTCTTTCTTTGTAATAAAAGTTTGTGTGATAAACGTTGTTGCAACGTTGTTGTTGGACGTTGGGATTGAGATGGCCAATTAACGTTTGTTCAACATCTGTTTTACGACGTTGTGACAACGTTGGAATGTAACGTTGTAGCAACGTCTAAAAATGACATTCAGAGGATTAACTCGATCATGTGATCGGCGGCCGAATAATTCATAATTGCTGTGAATTTGATCTTGATCTGCCCGCGTCCGCTAGTGAGATTAAAACTATTTTAATAATTAAAGGTCGTTTTTCTTTCTTGTAATTCAAAACCGCATATTCTAAACGAACACGAGAGTGCTGTGGCCGTGGCCGCCTTGGCCATGGGTTCTAATTTTCATGTGCATGCGTAAAGATTGCATCATTTCGATCCTTTCATCGTCACATGGCATTTGAACGCATTCATACCACACTGTCAACACTGCTAAACTGGAGCTCTAGAATGCTATATTCGAAGGCAATTCAAGATTTGAAGGCAATATTTATTTTGAGACAATTCGTTGATCCTACTGTTAAAAGTAAGTAGACACTTTTTACAAATAACATTGTGTTATTATTATTGTTTAAAACATTGGTATAGACGTGTGTATTATATTTGTATCTAGTTCATGATATTTCATAAACTTGACGACTTAAACTAGTTGTCCTCAAATGTGATGGTTTGTTTGTTAGAGTATTTGTCTTGTAGTATATAAAACGTTGATTATAAAGCATGGATTATTTTTATGTTTTGGTATAATCTGTAGTATCAGGATTTACATTATTTGTGATGAAGAAAACAACAGCTTTCTTCCTCACTTGCTTGATCTAAATTCAAGATGGCCGCCAGTCTTCCGATCAATTTCAAACTGATATATTTATTTTATATAGGTATATATTTTATACATATAGCCTTATATAAAATATAGACAGAGTAGAACTTTTTAATGAATTCTGGCCATTGCTGAACTCATCATGATTGCGTTTAATATGTATGCTTCATACTCAAGCCTATGTTAAAAAGGCAACTAGTATGGAATGTCTATTTTTGTGCGCTGGTGTAGCGGTCTCAGTACTCCCTGGTCTGGGTTCTCTCCCTCAAACACTCTTTAAATTTAAGTAAAAAAGTCTTATAATTGTTTGCAAGACAAGATAAAGTAGCAGTGCTTTTTCAAAAAATAGAAGTATTGAAAAGATCAGTTGTGTTTCTTAACACATAGCCCATTGCTCTGTTAATCCAAAAGGAAATATCAGACCAGGGTATAACTGAGACCATGACACAGCACACCTAACACTGTTAACCCATTTACTGGCAGTACTCTACCACTGACGAGTAAAATTGTCTGGCATTACACAGAGTAAATACATAAAGTAGGGTGCATTTAGGCACATTGCCAGTTAATGGGTTAATAATAGACATTAGCGAATAGGTTTGTTAACTCTTTCACTGGTAGTATTCTACCACTGTCGAGTAAAATCGTCTGGCGTTTCACATAGTAAATACTAAAGTAGGGTGCATTGCCAATCAATGGGTTAATAAGAGATGTTGGCAGATAGGTTTGTTAACCCATTAACTAGTAGTGCTCTACCACTGGGGGCATGCTCCAATTGGAATATTTTGAAAATTGAACCTTGGAAATTCCATATCTTGCACTCTGAGTTATAGATTACTCAAAACATTTGAACTACATAATCATATCATAGAATACACTGATATCGAAGGAACTAGATTCAGTTCCAAAATATCATCAACTCAAACCGACTTGACCATGTAGCTTAGTTGGCAGAGCATTGGACTAGTATCCCAAAGGTCGCGTATTCTATTCCCATTGCGGCCAAGCTAACTTTTCAGCTTGCCCAGTGTGGATGCACACTTGGAGTAACATCACAAACATCATATTCACCTGAGTACATAACACCAACACACACAAAAAATAATCATATCATAGAATACACTGATATCGAAGGAACTAAACTCAGTTCCGAAATATCATCAACTCGAACCGACTTGACCACATAGCTCAGTTGGCAGAGCATTGGACTAGTATCCCAAAGGTCACGAGTTCGATTCCCACCATGGCCAAGCTAACTTTCAGCTTGCCCGGTGTGAATGCACACTAAAAGTAACATCACAAACATCATATTCATCTGAGTACATAACACCAACACACACAAAAAATACACATAATTTAGACAATAAATAGCATAACGTTCTGCACTATACATAGTATTACTCATTTGTGCACCAGTTTGTGTACCATTTTTACTGTTGTGCACTGGATATGTTGGTGCACAGCATTTACATTCCATACTGGAATGGCAAATGTATTGTGCACATTTTTCTTCATATTTTCCAATGCATGGTAATTTTGGTTTTATTTTATTTTATAGCTGACAGACAGCCACAAACTTTTTTACCCAACCCATGAGCTAGTCAAAAACTTGATTACCCAACCCATATCTCTTCGGTACCAACCCCGGTTGTAAATAATGAACGGTCCTTTAGTGAGTTTTTGAAATAACATATTAACTAATTATGTTTTGTGTATATACTGCAGTTACAATTTATGGAAGCTCTCTGCGGAAGCAACTGTGGAATAAGCACAAGGAGAATTCTTGCGAACGTTGGCAGTAATAATCTGTGGTCTAATTACAGTCTGAAAGGAAAAAAGTCAAAACTGCCTTTCAAAGACCTTACAATTTGCAGGATTTTAATAAGTAAGTCATTTGTATTAATTTGTCTTTCATAATTTCATCAGTCATGGACAGTGGCGGAAACTAGCTTTCATTTTGAAAAATGTAACATGCAGGCCACATGCTATACCTGGGCAATAAGGAGCTCCCTCAGCCGGACGACGTCAAAAATCACGCATATACTGCAGGTGCACTTTACCTATAGAATCGATTTCTGGTATTTCCAGAGTCATACTATAGAAACGTCATGTTGTTTTGACGTTGTGAAATTGTATTTACGTTTGGGACTAGCTCACAGTCGGACCAGAAATGGAAATACCGTGATAATGATGCTGAAGATATAGGCTCGAAATGTGCTCTCAAAAATTTTAGCAAAGTTTCCATGTCCTTGCCATAAAATATTATACTAAATTTTAGTTTCTAATGTTCAGCAAAACTTCTATACATTATTGTTTACAACGTCGCTGCCAGCGGACATTGTGGTTGTAAATCTTTGACAAACTGTGATTTAAGCGGGTTGTATTTATGTCATGGGTCAAATATAGGCTTATGCAGCCATCACTTTTTATACAGGTAAAGTATTTATGTCTGCGTCTTGGTAGACAAATAAATTAAATCTCTATTTCATCTTTAACTCTTAAAAGCTTGCAGAAGAGTGTACAAGAAGGCTAATGACGTCGATGTCGAGTGGCAAATTGCAGAATTTCTGAAGCATGCACCAAACAAGCCAGGAGGCACAAGATACAAGGTAAATATTAAATAATTCACTGTAATCCAACTGACACGACGAGAGGGAACCTTTCTAAACAAGTTCTTTTTTTTCAGGACCGTGAAAGTTACAAAGATTAGTTATTCATTACAGAATTTATATTATTCTATGACTATATGTTCTCCCTATAATGTTAAATCTAATGTTACACTATGTAATTTTTTAATGAAGTTATTTGCATGATGAAACTTAGATAATTATTAGGTTATTAAAGTTTGTTCACATTTAAAAACTTGTTTGATTGATTTGTTACTGTCGCATATACACTGTATATATGGTCTGGATGTTTTCTAAATATAAGTTCTTTCATTGCAGTCTGAGATGGGCAGGTACAAAAGTCGGATCGCATTGTCGTACTGCACCCGGATCGAACCCTAACTCAGATATCAAGCCCACTTCTGGTTTTGGTTACTATAGCCTCGGGGTTAAGGTTGGGTCCGATCCGCGTAGCGATCCGATTCAACTGCCTAAGATATTTAAAATTGAATTGCATTCCCTAAATACTGGTAGCATTCTGTGTGCCGCGGCCTTTTACAACATAATTCCATAGGATTTTTATGCGAGCAGCGGCTGTATAGTTGGAGCGAAGCATTCTTTTTAGTTTTATACCTGATAATGAACAATATTATTACGACACCGAAATGATCCTTTCATATTCACATTTTGCAACGTCTGAACAAACGTTCTAGGCACGTTGTATAAACTTCGAGGAAACGTTCTGTGAACGTTGCATGAACGTTCAGCACAACGTTATTCACAACATTTTTAATACGTTTCTGGGAGTTCACAAAATAATGTTGCCACAACGTCCATCACAACGTTCTTTTCACGTTATTTCAACGTTTACACAATGTTGTGACAACATAATTTTGCTAGCTGGGACATATGTCAACATTTCTACTAATATGTGTTCAAGTCAGATTTTGTTGCAAGTTGCAGAATTTTGTTCAATTGAGAAAAACAGAAAAAAATACACTTCTACCTCTGATTTTTGTTCACTGTATAGGTAGGTGCAAAAGTGCATTCCATCAGTTCTTCTATGACATGATGCAAGATGTCATTGAAATGGTTCATGTAAGTGGTAATGAAACAAAACCTGTATTTCTACCTCCTGCACAGGGTCTTAGCTAGAGGGCCGTGTTGGCCGTGTTATCGCGGCCAAAAATGGAAAAACACAGCTAGATAGAATGAGCGCGGCTTCATTATTTATATAAGGCCGTGTAGGTTCATAAAATAACGTGTTGCTACTTACAACAGACAGAATTTCTTCCTATTTACGTCGTAAGAAAGATTGTAAATCTACTGTTGTTGTTGAATTTGGCAAAAGTCATCCGTGATGTTTTGATGGATAATGGGAATGGTGTTAAAATGGCTTTAAATACCCCCAAGAGTTGCTAAAATAACTTATACTATTTTAATGTCAGTACGCAGTGTGAGCGTATAGCCTTGTATTTGGTTGCAACTCATACAACAACCACAGGCATTGTCTGTTGCTGGCAAGCATAACTAGAACCGTGAATTTGGCTATTACATGGGCACACCCTGGTCATTTAGAAACACGCCCAAGATCTAAAATCCTAGCTAAGACCCTGCTCCTGCACATGGGATAAATTTGGCGACATCTTGGCTAATTTGGCCTATTTGATGAATTACTGTCATTCTTCACTATGAATATGTATTCATTCACAAAGATGCAGTTATCGGATACAAAAGAATACCAGGACTTTCTCCAAATGTATAGTGGTAAAACAAAGACATGTGAGACAGGTATAGGATATATACATACATATATTATATTATTTTGCATGTGTATTTGTGCAGAACAGACTGTATTATGCTCAAACTTGAGCAATAAAAAATAATACAAGTATACAACCACACAAATTTCAAATCATTTCATAATTTAACTCAACAACTCACATTGTATTTTGATGTGCCCGCCATATGATATTTCGATTCACTCTGTCTATAAGGGCAGATTATTTTATGGCACTCTGTCTCACACCAGATGATTTTGCACCTCTAAGGCTACATGATTCTAATCTGTCCAACCAGGGTTCGAAACAGGGGCGCACATTCAAAAAAAATTTGGGGGGTGTCCTATTTTCCGGGACCGACTTTTGTAGTATTTGTGTTTGAAAAGAAAAGCCAACTATTTTAAGGTGTGCACAGTACTCGTGAATGGTGAACCGGTGAAAGTTCAGTTTAATTAATGTCACAGTCTTGTTATAAATACAATTAGGGCCATTCCATTTAATATCCACCCCCCCCCCCTACGGATGAGGTCCGTAAAATTTTAACCCCTAAGAAAAAAGATCAAAGTGCCGACACAAAACACCCCTCAGAAATTTGTAAATTTTCCTCTTACCCCTCAGAAAAATCGCAGAGATCAAAGGATGCCGACATGCTTAACCCCTCAGAAACGACTTTTTGAGTCACCCTTCAGAAAAACTCACCCGTAGGGGGTGTGTGGACATTAAATGGAATGGCCCTTAATATAAAATTTAAGCGTTGCATGGACGTATGGTACAGGGCCGTAGGAAACTCTTTTCGATTTGGGGGGGCAGGGACCGCGGAGACGGGGGGGCTGGGGGGGCTTTAGCCCCCCCACTTTTTTTGACAGCCAAAATGATTAAAATAGAAATCTAAATGAAACTTTCTAAATTAATTAATTGGGGGTTTTATTGATGATTTAGCCCCCCCCACTCTCTAATACGCTCCGCGGGCCCTGGGGGGGGGGGAGGCTGAAAGCGAGGGCCGAGGCCCGAGGAAATTTTTAAATTTAGAGTCTCTGCAATGCCATTTCCTGGACTTTGGGGAAGATTTAACAGAATTCTGATAGTCAGAAAAAAGCGTTTTGGCATGTCGAAATTTACAATTTATAGTAGTACTAAATGGCCGAAAGCGTATTTAATTAACTATTATATGTTGAATAAGTTGCAGGAAAGTGTGGGTAAAACACTGGATTGTAAAATAACATGTACTTTATTATCCATGGTAATATCTTCATTCTTTGCAGTTTGTCACAGATTAAATGATAAAGGTCTGCATGACATGCGACGGCCCTGTGGTTATTGCAATAAGTCGACTAGTAACTATGTAAAAAAATAGCATACAGGAGTGTCAAAAAGTAGACCGTTAGAAATTAACCTGTTGTTCTAAATGGAATTTATAGCCAGTATATTAGCCACAAGCCCACAGTATATTATTAAAGAATAGTACATTATTAAAGTCAAGAGCTCAAATATAGACAATAATGGTTCAAAATAAATCTATAGTGCGTGCCCACATGATATTCAACTAAGAGTATTAAATATCGGACAACTCAAATTGCTTAGAAAGTTATAGCAATTAGCAATAGATTTCAGGCAGTCAAATCAGTTTTTAAATAGTTCACCTGCACAGCTTATTTCATCGAAAAATGACAATCGGAATTACTTCACACAAATAAGGCGCTCTGTTTTGGCAGCTCGGCCCAACGATCAACAACAGTGTCTGGGTCCATTATATTGTATCCGTGAGATCCTTTTCATATCCAAGAGTGATTAGATCCCTTAGACTTTTTTCTTTCATCACTGAACGAATGGCAGTCTTAATCAATTTAAGCTTCAAACTCGAAAAGCTGTGTGTTCACTCGATGCGGATGTAATCGGTTATCTAAATGTGTATAAATGTTATACACTGCCACATACCTCGGTAACCTCTCTTCGATTTATTAGAACGTAGACTCCTCCAAAATTGCGGATGGACTCACAGACAGGGATAGAATTTCAAGAGTTTAAATAAACGTTTAGTTTTTCAGAACTTCTGCTCTAAACTTTCGGGGGGCCAAAATTTTTTATGGATTTTGAGTGCGAGCGCCGAAGGCGCGAGAAAAATTTTGAATTTCTAGGTTCATTAGAACACTATTTCACGTATTTTAGGACGAGGTTGGAAGAAAAGTTACAACCACAAAAAGTCGCCTAATTTTGTTAGATTCCATTTCCAAAATGTCCACCTATTTCTTTTTCGACACAAAATGATGTCTTTCAGATTTTAGCCGGACCGACTTTTTTTCGTCCCATACAAGTTTCGGGACCGACTTTTTAGATATATTTCACAAAACATGGGGGGGTGTCACACCCCCCACACCCCCCTAATGTGCGCCCCTGGTTCGAAATAATGTTTTAAAATGTGCCTAATTTTGTAAGCTGCTTTTATTTATAGGTTTAAATTCTTGTTGGCTGTTTTCAAAGTTTATTAGTAAATTTAGTATACATGTGTACCTGGAAACATGCTCTGCATTTGTAACGTTTTCATTTGTCACTATATAATTACGAGCTAAAATGGTGCTATTGTCTTTCTCTATTGAACTAGTATACCTTCACGTTAAATAAACTACACATCAAGCCAGTAGTGCACTCAACATCAGTTGGTGTGATGTTATTTTACGACCAACCAAAATGTCTCTGCATAAATGCTGGCCATTTTACTAACTAAATTAACTTGACATTTAATTTCATGATTACATTAACTTATAAATTAATATGTAGACAATGACATTTGCCACTGGAACAGGAGGACTTCACAAAGTAACTGGTTTCATGTCAAAACTACATTCCTATGTCAATTAAAAGTTAGTCTAGTTTAACCTAATTCCAGCACGCTTTCCAGTGGACCAATTATCATTCATAATTGGCATTGCTAAAATGTCAATTATAAATGTGTTGCATTGCTGAATGTTTTGAGGCTAAAACAATATATGTTTTTTTGGTACAAAGAGCATTCTTGGTTTCAGTTTTAAATGGTAAATAATAATATAAACACAGAAATGACAAATATAACCATAATTTAAATATAAAAATCAATATTTTTCATTTAAGTTAAACTTGAATTTAAATAAAAAGTAAAAATTGCCGGTGAAGTCTTTTGGATTTAAAAATCACCTGCAAGGTTGTTCGTTATCACGGCCATGCTATCTTGAAACCTGTCAATGCCCACTTCTCTTGTTAATGCTGGCCATTGAGTCACATTGTGGTCTAAATCCCATCTACTTTATTGCCTTTTAATATTATGAATCTAGTTGGTGTGTTCAGTTCTCCAGTCAAAAGCTTGTTTTAAGTGATTAACTCGGATTGCCCCTTGAATGTGCACCGACTTTATCATTTCAACATTTTTAATAAATTGTGTTTAAAACTACATTTTAACTGTCAAACAGAATCGAAGCGGCTGTTTATATGGAAACTGGGCTGGCCCGCTTAGTGAGACAGCTTGCTATTAAGCGGAATACATTTCTTTTGTGTTTACATCTGAAATTTCATCCTGCTTGCTATGATAATTTATTTGAAATTTCAGCCTGGGCCAGGTTTATACTCTTGTACATGTTTATGTGGAGACATTTTCATCCTGGTAACGAGATCTCGCCTCTTTCAAGCACAATCTAGACAACCTGCCCAAGTCAACTTGTCCATATAAACACAAGGTAATTTCACTACGAAAAGCAGATAAAGTAATTTTACTAACACAGCAAGATCTTGCTTACAGAGCTGCCTCCCCAGGCAGGCAAGCCATGCTTCCATCCCTTAAATGTGGTCACCATTGAGTCACATTGTGGTCTAAATCCCATCTACTTTATTGCCTTTTAATATTATGAATCTAGTTGGTGTGTTCAGTTCTCCAGTCAAAAGCTTGTTTTAAGTGATTAACTCGGATTGCCCCTTGAATGTGCACCGACTTTATCATTTCAACATTTTTAATAAATTGTGTTTAAAACTACATTTTAACTGTCAAACAGAATCGAAGCGGCTGTTTATATGGAAGCTGGGCTGGCCCGCTTAGTGAGACAGCTTGCTATTAAGCGGAATACGTTTCTTTTGTGTTTACATCTGAAATTTCATCCTGCTTGCTATGATAATTTATTTGAAATTTCAGCCTGGGCCAGGTTTATACTCTTGTACATGTTTATGTGGAGACATTTTCATCCTGGTAACGAGATCTCGCCTCTTTCAAGCACAATCTAGACAACCTGCCCAAGTCAACTTGTCCATATAAACACAAGGTAATTTCACTACGAAAAGCAGATAAAGTAATTTTACTAACACAGCAAGATCTTGCTTACAGAGCTGCCTCCCCAGGCAGGCAAGCCATGCTTCCATCCCTTAAATGTGGTCACCAATGGGCTTTTAATTTATATACTGTACACAGCGTTTTTGTTTGGTTGAGCCTGATAATCCTGCCAATATACAGTAGTCAATACAGCCACCTCATATCAGGAGGCAAATTGAAATTCATGAACTATCAAAGCTGGTCCA